TTGAATGTCATAAATTTGGAAGCTTTAAAATAAAATTGTTCATAAACCATGATTTACTTTTTTCTCTGATCAATGCGCTCTGGTGTATACTGATATATTATTTTATTTTTTATTTATCTAAAATTTCAGCATCTAAGGTCATTCATTTTTCCTCATCTTTATATAAAGTTTATGTATAACATTCCGGTACCACAAAACTCGTATACCCAATGATTATTCGTCAATCGTTGAGCTCTACTAGTCGTGTGTAAGGTATTTATTTGTAAAGGGTCGCCGTAAATTCTCCGAGTAGCTCGTGGTTTCCAATTAGTTGTCGGCAAAAGCGGCATGAGTCAAAGGAAAATTGGTAAATATACGAGTCATGTAGGAGTGAATTAATCGTTAGTCAAAACACACACAAGAATCGGATAGTGATGTATATATTGATGTTTCAGACATTGCCATCGGTACCTATCTATAATAGTAGTTGTTAGTAAAACCTTAACCTTTTTTAAAAATATGTACAATTTTTTTTCATGGATGTTTGAAATTCAAATTTTGACGAAATTAGATACTAAACAAAAATAACGAAATCAGTTATTTTGCTGTAATTCTAATGGTTATAAATACTCGTAAATACTATATAGTATTTATAATCAATGGCTTAACTATTAACTATATTAATTGTTATTATAACAACACAGTAGTGGTTGATATTATTATTATTATTCTATTTTCGGAATGATGAAAATATGAAATAATTAATAGGCGACTTTCTGGACACAAAGTTATTTTTTAATTGTATATAAAAATAAAATGGAAAATAATAAATTAAATACTTCCTGGATAAAAAACTATGTAATATAATATATTGTACATAATGCGTACCGTCGTTGACACAAAAATATCTCCCATGTGCAAAAACACGGGTTTTCCGGAGACGAGAAAAATGTTTAAAAATAAAAATCACATAACAGTTATTTTATGAACGATTTATGGTAGGTAACTCACATACTAGTCCATATTAATATATTAACAATTATATTAAAATAATCGTTATTCATTATAAGTTATAATGAGTAAACTCCGAGTTTCAGCCTTAAAAACTAATGTACACGTATTTGTACGTACTCGTGACTCGCGAGTTATACATTTTTAAATATTTGTAGATCCGTAGCATAGGTAACTGTGACACTGTGTAGTGTTTAGAAATGCCACAATTAGAACCTGCAGGTTGCAACTATGACATAGACCAGGGGTGGGCAACTTTTTATCTGGTCCGCGCTACATTTTCAAATTGCGTTAAGTATAGGTATACCGTATACAAGTCGATTTTGCCGCGTTGTCATTAGAAGCCACACATCCTCAAAACTCTCACTAAACTGCAAATAACTATTTATATTTAAATATTTAATTAAATTATTTTCAATAACGCTTTTTGTATTACCTATTTCATTATAGACAAAATAAATGCTAATTAAAAGTATATTTTGAATGATTTTTTTTTTTTTTTGATTTCTATGCTCTGGCCCGCTAGATTTTAAATTTCTAAAAATTTAAGACTTGTCAAAGGGCATAGGTATATTTTATAAGGGTCCTATTATATTTCTATTACACATTTTAACATTTAATTAAACATTTTTTTGAAATAAATTATCGTACTTATTGCGTTGAGATTGGTACCAACATTTTTGTTTTAATGTGAACTTGAAATGTATTTATAAATATAATTTACAATAATTAATACCGATATAATTCTATGGTATTTGTAATTTGTATAACAGATCTAAGTTATTCTTGAAAATGGTTTAAATATTTGGGAGATTGTAAACTGCTGCAAATAAAAGTTTATCATAACACAATCTGCGACAAACCCGAAAAGATAGTAAGAAGTTAGTATAATATAAATTATAAAAACTTCGACAATGTATTTACGAACTAAGTAAGTACACTAGTAAGTAGATAGTATTATCACAAGTACCTAAAGGAACCGATATATTTTTCTAGTATGTTATGTTAAGACTTAAAAATACATTTGATTAGCTTACCAATTTGTACGCAATACATGCCAACAATAACGTAATATCAAACATAATTAATTAAGCGATAGGTCATAGATGTTGGTAAATAATAACACATAGGTTTAATATATGATTTATGTAGGTAACTACCTATACATTATTTAAGTACTTATACAATAAGTTTTCAAATCGATAATGTATATTATATAGCAGTAGCGGCGTAAACATTTTGAGTCTTTGAAACAAATTGTACATTTTTAATATTTTTACCACCAACCATCCCCTTTATTACATCAAAATGATAATTTACTATGTTGAAGCTATGAAGCAATTGCTTCAAATATTATTATATCCCGCCGCCACTGTTATGTAGTATAAAGGTAGTAGGCAGTAGGATTACAAAATACATTTCTGCAGTTTGTATAATGTATCTTATCAGTTTTGTCGTAGATTGTATTTACCTAAGATCATACACAATAATCTAAGATATCGGCTTTTAGAAAAAAACCATAAGGGTAATTTTACCACAGTTTACACATACAGCCAGACGTTTTATTAGGTCTATATTATTTCCAAAACATCATAAAATACCATATAGGTTCCATAATATCTACAATATAATAATTACACTGTGCTATATAGCACATTAGTAATATCGTCTATCACACTTACTTCACTTATTACTAGGTATACATTTATGCACTTGTACGCTCTACAATCTTTATGGTAGATTTACAAAAAATTGAGTTTTCAAATGCTCATAACTTGTTTCGTACTTAATTAAATTATCAATAAAAGCCTTTGAGATGTCCTAAGGCTTAGATAATAGTCTTACCTGTACATTTTAAAATAGGTCAATAATTCAATCTAATTTTTAAAATAATAAGTCAAATGTATAATTTTGAATGTAAGTTTGAAATTTTCTTTTTTTGAAAGACCGATAAAACCCAATAATATGTTTGTTAGTACTATTCTACAACTAGCGTTATCTCATTTCTTTATTATATTCAGTATTGTATATTAGAATCTCAATGCCTCAATGATAGTACGTTCGTATAACGTATAGGCCCTATAGGCATAGTTATTAGCCCGTATTTATAGCCTTATAGGTATTAAATATTAATTCTTACTATAATAAATTATAAAATAATTTTGTTCAGTTTCGGGGTCAATTTTTTATATTTTTTTTGTATGGCGCTAGACTGAGTTATCAGTAGAAACTAGAATTAGAACTTAAAAAAAAATACCAACAGGTTAATCAAATACAGAAAATTCTGTGGAAATAAATTTGTATTTATCTTGATTACGTTTGTAATCGTCTATATTTATTGTCCTCGTTCATCGGTAAACCCCTGTCAGACAACGTACGTATTACATAAAAATAGTATCCTACGAAAACGCGGTGAATAGTGAATACGACGAGTAGGCACTAATGATTTATATTCTGATCAGCATGTTCGAATTGCGTTCAATGCGATGAAAATAAATACAAGCTCTTCGAATTTGTTGAACCATGTTTACTTGTTAACCCGTATATTTAGCAATTTAGGTACATAATGTATTAATATAATATTATGTCTATTGTCTATTTTAAAAACATAATTTTTAAATTAATTGGAAAATGGAAGTGTACATTTCTATTTTTGTGGTTCTCATTTCATAAGTTATTATGAAAAAAAATATAACGTAGAATCTATTTTAGTCTAATAGTGAATTTTTATTTATAATACTTCTCCAAACAGCAAACTCAAAGAATTTAATCAAATCTATTACGTATACACTATAAAACTTTTCAGTTACCTACTGAACGATTCCGTTATCGTACTCGGAAGTTTTTAGTAGGTATTTATTTAGATATAATCAAGTCAATAACAAGTGTAATTTTGTAGAAACGATTAGAAGACCAAGCTCAAATAGTGACTATCAATTGCGATTAGCTAAAGAACGCAATAAAAATCACTTCGAAAATCATCGGTAGTCGGTACCTAAGTAGGTATATATTGGTTAGATCTTAGATCCCTACTCTTAAATATGTACATTTTATTGTTAAAAAAACCAAAGGATTTACTGTACTCACTCCAATAACAAATTACATTTTTAAATTCATATCTTGTTTAAAAATGTATTTGTACCTATAACTTTTTACATTTATAAATGTATTCGTCGTTAAATAAAATAAAGAGGTATGATTATTGCATAAGAATAATAATTTAATTTTTGTTATAATTTATAGTTATCAACAAGGTTTGTATTTAGCCATAATTACTGTAGTAAAGAACAAAATTTCTATAAATCAAAATTTTTGTTTCGTTCTTGTGTGTGATTTGTGGTGTAAACATTTTTAACAAAATATCTATGAACTTAAAATAGTAACTAGGTACCTAAAGAGTTCGAATATAATCTACTTATTGGGCACCAGAATAAGATAACCAATAAGTGTATTATACTTACACTATTTTCTGTAATACCCTTTTAATTATTATTTAGAAAAGGAGAGATTGCAGACCATTCAACCACCTCCACCCCGAATCCCAGCACTGTGAGGCGATGACAGTACATTAATGCAAATTTCAGTACCACTGAATTCCGCTGGCCAGTAGTCAGGAACGTCACGATATTATTCATTCCATGATAAGTAGAAACTTGAAAATATATAATTAATAATCACGGATTAATCCGTGGAAATAATAGACATTGAAATAGGCATTTTATTAATTTTATATGATTTCTTTAATCTACAGTGATCACCGATTAATAATAATAATAATAATAATAATAATAAAGTGATAGGCACTTGGGCAATTAACGAAATTAATAAATTTAACATGTGGCCAAATTATATTAAAAGATCGTCTTTCGTTATGTTTGAATAAAATCGATTATAGCGCTACACGGCAGGTCGATATACCTATATATATTATATCCATGTCATGCGCTTATCAGTTATCACGTATTTACGTGCGGCAGTAGTGGTGGTGGTGGAGGTAAGAGTCGAAACCTCCGTAAAGCGCGATCTCCATGAAAACAACGTAGTAATACCGCACTATCCCGCGGCCGCCGGCGCCTGTAGAGCACATAATTGTGTTTTCCAAGACAACTCGGAATCCGCTGTGACGCTGTCTCGCAGTCTCGCAGGGGAGTTTAACGTGGACGGTCGTGTCCGCTCGTCTTTCTTCTCGCGTATCCGCACTGTCTACAATTATAATATTGTATTCATTATTTCTGATACGGCTATTTTACTTCATTTTTGCGCTCGTTGTCCGATCCGTTCGATTATTTTCTTCCGAATCGATTTATTATTTTTTTTTAAAAATATTTTTTTTTCAACCTGCCGTTACGCGCTCGCAAGACTCACCGCTGTTGTTTCGTGTTTCAAGATTCGAGAGCAGCGGCACCATACCGTCGCTCGAGCTGACTTCCTTTTACTCCGGCGAGTAACCGTAGCTGCACCGTCGACTTCGGTGGCGGTAGTCGCAGGAAGTCTCGCCGCCACACAGATCATCTGGCCATGGCTCCCCGATCCAAATCCAAAGCGAAAGGGGCCTCGAAAGCGGCCCCCAAAGCGGCCCCCAAAGCGGCCCCCAAAGCGGCCCCCAAAGCGGCCCGTAAACCAGCCCGTAAACCAGCCCGTAAACCGGGCCGTAAACCGGGCCGTAAACCGGGCCGTAAACCGGCCGGTAAACCGGCCCGTAAACCCAGAGCAAAAGCAGCCGCGAAGGAACCGAAAACCAAAACAAAAGGGCCGCTGACGGAACCTCCAATGCCGCCTCGAGATTGGACTCCATTTGCAATAGGTAAACAGTCCGACACACATCCGCGCACAATGGCTTTGGCGCGAATTCACGCGTCGTACGTTCTCGTTCATCGTTTGTTGCGTCGCGCCTATGTCGAATACGCCCGGCGGGTCGTTTACGTTCTGTCTAAAATGCTCATTTGTCGCTTTTGAACGGTCCCCATGGTTCATTGCCTATGTGCGACATCATGTACCGACCTACTCTGCTAGTACCTACGTTATGACAATCGTGTCCGAGGTTTTCTGCTTCTGGCTTGCGCATGGGTCAGTAGTATATTTTTTACTCGTGCTGGTATTCAATGATTAAACCTGTAAAGCGGTGAGAGTGTTGTTTCGTGGTCCGGGTGCCGCCATTTGATCCTCCCCGTTACTACGATTGATGAAATCTCACTAACTATGTACCTAGTATTTTTTGTTTTTACATTTCTACGTTTAGACTGCTTCTGTGTTTCAGTGTTTCTACAAAAATCCAATTTTCTGTCTTGTTGCTTATTTAAATTTAAATTTTATTGTAAATCGAATATTTAGGATATGTATACACTCCTTTATTCTTTAAAAAAGTCGAGGTTTGGACATAAGTTTTGATTCGATTGTAATTTATAATGTCCCTATCATTTTTAAAATTTAAAAATTAGGTACAATTATTTGTTAGTTAAAAATAAAAAAATGCTTGTTTCTGTTGATTACCTACTTATTATATAATGTATATTTTTACATCAGATACTTATCGTTAATTGTTTAGGTAAAAAGTTAGAATTAGGTTATTTGTGTGTCAAAATGAATTTAATACTTTAGTTTTATTTACAAACAATTATTATTTCGACACTGAATCTGTACTATGCTTCTGCAATACTTTTAAGTTTGGTTTTTTTCCAAGTGCTTATAATTTATATAATATACCTATCTATCTTTTGTGTGGTTTTTGTCTGCAGATTAAATTTTATACTTCTATGGTAGGATATTTTTTATTTGTGACTTATCAAATTCCGACTTTTTTTGTACTAGAAATAAACAAAAATAAATGAAAAAATAACAAAGTTTATTGTAACAATTATTTTTGGACTTGCCTTTACTAATAATATTATGTGTATTTTAAATATAACTATGGGTGTTAGCTTGTTAGATTCGTATATAATTATGATGGGTATCTAATTAGGTACCTATTAGAGTGGTAAGTATTATGAATGTTTCATAGAAAATTATTCATTTAACTTTTTTTGCTTAAATTAAAATCTCAGGGAAGATTATCATAACTTTTTGTCATTGTTCAAAGCATCAAATAATTCTGTGAAGGGAACAAATTCAATTTTAATTGCTCAATTTTGATTATATTTATGTAATCATAGGTATGTTATCACAAAAGATATAGTTGTGTACATATATTTTAATAATTAGGTTTGAATCATATTTTATCCTGTTTTTGTTTATAATACGTACCTACTAAACATTTTATACTATGTAATAAAAGCAGAATTGATGTTCATCTACAACTCTTACTTGTGGGTAGCAAAACTTAAACATTGATTAAATGTATTTATAATTGTATGTACTTATGTACTTACTGCTAATATCAGTAATAAATACTTTTTGACTAAAACAATATTCATATATCTTATAATTTAGTAAATCATTTTTTATGATAGATACTTATAAGATCAAAAATTGTAATTTATATGATATATAATGGTTATCTAATACAGTGGTCGCCAACCTTTTGGACTTTGCGGACCACTAAAACCATATTCTAAATTCTATGGACCACTTTTAGCTTTCAATAGCTTATTATATAAATACCGTTCCACTACTGATAAATTTTACACCAAATTAATATAAAAAAGTACATAAGTAAAATAATAAAAAAGGTTTTATTTTTATTTATGACAAAAGTTTTAAGTTTTAATTAAATTTTAATGTGATATTTGTTCCTGTTTGTTTTGAAGAATTTCATGCAATTTTGACTCCAATGTAGTCACAGCAAGTTGTAGAGCTTTACTTATTTCTAGCTGATTTCTTGGTATTTTTCTGCGGACCTCCTAAATTTTCTCGCTGACCACCAGTTAGTGACTGCTGATCTAATAGATTAATCATTATGGCAACTGTTGAATAGTATTATTTTTATTTGTTTTTTAGGTGAGCAAGTCTATTGCAGATGGGAAAACTTTTATTATCGGGCCAAAATATTGAAGCCATGTGATGTTAATGAAGATTATTACTGTGTTCATTACTGGAAATTTCGCAAATCGTTAGTACATCTATATTTTTTAAACTAAAAAAAAATGTATGACTATTAAATCCTTCAATATTTTTTAGTTGGGATATGGTAGTGCATGAGAGTAAGCTACTTAAATATGAAAATAAGGCAAATGAAGCATATGTTAAAAACTACAATGCTTATTTTAGGTAAATATTGAGTTATATTAACTAAAATCAGCTATTCATTTATTAATATACATGTACGTTTTTATTTTTGTAGCAAACTAAAGAGAGATAGATTTAAGGGTTTGAAGATAATAGCCCAGTTAATGGTAAGTAATCAAAACAAATGTATTTGCTAGAAATACTGGGAAAGTAAATTTGAAATAAGATTATTTTATTGAACAAATTAATATTTATGATTTAAATTCAATATAAATTAGTTGGTTGTATAGTTGTTTCTCTCTCACATTTATAGTTATTTATTTATGTGAATTGTTGAAGGTTTTGTTTAATAACTTAATTATTTAATATTTTTAACCTAAACACACGAAAAGTCTAGTTTTCATAGTAATATTATTTATAATAATTTTTATTGCATTTTCCCAATCATGAAATTGTTTGTTGTAAAGAGAATAATAAAATTGTTTCCATTGTTGGGGTACATTTTGAGAATGTACTGCTTATCATTTGTAATTTACTTATCATCCATAGTTTTTAATTGTATCTAGAAATGTAGTAATGGTTGTTTGGTTCAACGTTTAAAGCAAATTTTTATTAAATATATTATGTTTGTGATAAAAATGTTATCTTGATTTTAGAGGTGGCCAATAAAACACAATAGGGTATAAAAAACATCTATAACATTTTAATATGTAATTTATATTTCCTTCATTGAATAATAATAACTGTAGAAGCTTATAATATGTTGTGTGGTAAATTTTTTCTTGGATAGAATACTCTAGCATCATGTACACTAAGGTTATCTCTTGCCTGTTACCATGGGACAATAAGTGCATGACAATGAGATTTATACAATTTTAGAGATGATAAATAAATATAAATTTCAGACATCCCCCTGACTACTTGACCCAGCGAGGTGGATACCTAAGTGTATAATTTCTAACTCTCCATGCATTTGGTCGCCCATAAAAAATGCCATTGCCTATAATATTATGATTCAAACTTTATGTTAAAATTTGTTAGTTAATACTCAGTAGTGATGTTTAAAACTTAAAAAAAATTTTTAAGTTTAATCTTTATTTGATTTTTTACACATCAATTGTATAACATTGTACATTTTTTTGTTCTTAGGACTGGGTTTATTTTCAAAAAAATTTAGCTCAATACGTAAACTTTAAGATCATGATTTTCATAAGGATCTGTAATTTTTTTTAAAATAAAATACAACCTACGTTAATTTATCCAATATAAACCGAATAAACAATTTTACTTTATAATATTTTGTATAGATAAGTTTTCTTTTAGCCAAGTTGTTTATTAATTTTTTTTTCAGGATAATATAGAAAAAGGTATTCCACTTGTACAATTGAATGGCTTACAATATGATCCTACTACATGTAGGGTTATGGTTCATGAAGATGGAAACATACACTGTCTACCAAAAGATTCAATTACAACTATATTACCTGAAATTAAAGTTGAGCCTTCTCCAGTTAACAGAGAATCATTTTTATCTTCTGAACAAGAAGAAAGTGTATGTAGTCAAATCTATGATAGCCAGCATATTTCTATTGGTTTTTAATTATTGATGGCTGTTTACAGATTCAATCAATATCACTTGCAGTTAGTGGCAATGATTCAAATTCTGAAGTAAATTTATCATCTTTAAGCCCAAGATTTGAGGAAGCACAAGAGTCAAAGATGGATAAAAGTAATAATTATACCTGATAAGTAATAACTAATAAGTATTTAAATAAGTTATGATTTGTAGATTGAGGACAATAACAGTTATAATTCTAGTTTGTTTGTTTGTGTTGAAGAATATAGTTGCTCGTGTGTGTTAACTGCTAAGTTTAATTAGGACTAATAAATATATTGGTTGTATTATAGCTTGATTATTATAATGAAATTATAATATTAAACTACTGTTAAACTTGTACAATTTGAAAACAGACTTCAATAAAATGTTTGGAAAATAATATAAAATTGTTAAATTGAATAAGTGAAAAGAATTACAAAATTTAAAATAGAAAATTTAAAATTCAGCAAGCAGCTGGCAGCGACACAGTAATTTACTTTTCTCTCACAGAGAGCTCTTGCTGTAATTTCCAGCACCATGAAGTACTCAATTTGATACTCACCTTATCATATGCCGATGGGCAACCTGTATAATATCTTAAATCGTGGTTATATCTAATTTATAAATTATAATAATATATTATTATGATAATTGATAATCATATTACTTATCTCATGTTATGTATATTACATAGTAGTAACAAAAGTTTTGAAATAATCCACTGGAAGCGCTAGCACTGGGATCAAGATTTAAATTGTATGCCGTCTTATCATAGCTCTTTGGGCAACCATACTATCTTAAACTGTGTTACTAAAGCTGTTAAAAAGTGTTTGTTCATGGGTAACATTACCGACTACAATATAATGGACTGACATCGCCATGGCGAGAAGAGTAGAGAGAATGGTTTCAAATGTTTCTTAACTTTCAATCAAAGCATTCACATTCCTCTTGTTAATCGCGACTTTACTGCTATCAGGAAGCATGGGGGTTTAATTTTAAATTACAGATTTGATAAAATATTGGTTTATTTCAAAGCAATAATTGTTAGATGGTAGGCCCTAATACTTAAGAGTTTCCATCATAAATCCTTGAGTAATTTTGAGGTATAATCTTAAATAATTATATAATCTTTATAATTGGAAATGTAATAACTTTTTTCCAAATATTCTTTTTGGCAATTTTCAGACATAAGTAAAAATATTAGGAAAAACATATGAATTTAAATTCATATATTTTTCAAATGTTACTAGTATCAACTTTTTATTTTTAATTTATTAGCTGTGTTTGTTATTACATATATACTATAATATATCAGTTTTACTATCGGCTTGAAAAAGAAAAATTGGTACTCAATTTAATACCAATATTGATTATCAATATTTTCCTGCCCTAAATTAGTTTCATTGGAGGGTCCTATCATTTACTGTATTTTACATTCTTTGTTTTGTTATGTTTATAATATACAATTTTTGATTAATTTCCTAAATGTACACAAATTATCCTAAATTTAAAAATTTTTTTTTTCTATCTTTATTTTTCAGACTTAACACAACTCTTGGATACTTTCTCAATCAAAGAAAAAGTTGCCATAAATATCTTGGATGAAATGCTAACTAAGACAAAACTACAAAACAATGTCACCCAAAATTATGAAGGTATAAATTAGGGTTATTATCCTTGTGCTATACAACTTATATTTAATCATCAAAATTTATATGATTACTTTAAACTTAATATATAATATAATATCTAATATATAATACAAAATATTAAAAATTTTACTAACATTTAATATACTATTTAATATACTGTACAGTATATAAAATGTATTCAGTTTCAGGTCATATAAATTTTGACTTGTAAATATAGTATTGTAAATTTAAATACATTAAATTTGGCAGTGCTCTAAAATATCCTTTATATAGAAATGCTGGTTAAAAGTATGAGTTTTATATGCAAAAATTCTTAGAAAATATTGTGCTAAAAAAAAAATAAAAATTTCATATAGTGATAATGTGTATTAACTGTTATAAAAATCACTAATCTGGCTATAATTCCTTTGTAAATTAGCTTTTAAATAATGGTTTAATCAATCTACCAAATAGTCCTTGATGGTGTAGGTTATTTTATTAGAGGGATTTGATATTGGAGACTATTTCACCTATAATTTATCCATGAAAATGGTTTAGCACAGGATGATCCTCTAAGACACAGTATTCAAAGGAGCCCTACCTAATTCTTATCATACATGTAGAAGACATTCAATATTCATGTATGTCATATCGTTTCTATTTCTTTGATAATCCTACAACAATCTAAATTATTAATTTATACAAATACATTTTTTTTGTTTTTTATTTGTTTATTAAAAATGATTGATTATTGATATTAAAAAAAATAAGCTTCAATACAGATAAAGTAATTTATTCTCTTCTATCTAGTGTGAAAACCTGGTTAATTTATTGTACTTATGAGTTTCTTACTTCTAAAATTACTATTTTTCGCAATCTCATTATGCAGCAACCATTATTGGTACTGATATGAGATAACTTTTAAAATATATTTAAGATTGAACATTTTAATTTTTCTTGAAATTGCATTAAAAAGGTATTACACCCATTTTTAATCCTCTTAAGTTCATTCTAGGTTTAAAATGAATGAATTATTACTAGTAAGAATCAAACGCTAGAAAAAAAATTATAAAAAAAAATATTCTTCTATTACAAAACAGATTTTAGTCACTTAATTGTTTGGGATTTGGTCATACTAGTCATGGAAAAATTCATTTTATTAAACAAAATACAAATTAGTAATTATAATACCTAATAAAATACAACTATGCAATTTATAATCATTTAAATTTATTCAATAAAATTACCATGTGAAACCTCTGTATAGCGGACACTCTCGGTCACCAAAATTGTGTCCACTATTCAGAAGTAGTACATTGCTTAAATTCATAAAGTGCAAATGTTTTTTAGGAAAAAATACGCACATGTTAAATTTAATTATAGTGCTATTATATTTAAATTTTTTACTGATATTATAATGTATAGATATTAGATATACATATAATAATTTAAAAATGTACACATAAGTATCGCTTACATTTTAACAAACTCTTACATAAAAAAACCGCCACCAACTAACTTTTGAAATGCACAAAACATTGGCAGTCAAGTCATTGATATTTTTCTCACAATTGTTGTTATTCGTCGTAATTTTATCTTATTGACCCTTCACGACTTCCGATAAAACGCTCTAGTGCTTTTGCGTTGCTGTTTTGTCATTATTTTTAAATCAAGATTAAAATAGTTGTCTGCTATTAAGAGGTTTTTACATTGAAAAGTAATGAAAATGTCATTACCCACAAGAAATCTTCCGTTATTGGGAGGTGTCTATTAGGGAAGTATACATATATCTTCTACTCAATATAATAATTTCAAATATATATGATTATCATACATACATATTATATAATTGAATAGGTAGTGTGGTATTTGGTCTACTCACATTTATCTTATTATCTTGGTTAATTTTGTCCATCTCAAATCCCCACCACATAGGTAACTGGTTAAATTTATACACTATTCAGAATAAGAAATATACTCAGTGGTTAACTTGTGCATAAAGGGGTCGCTTCAGCAGGCATACAAATGGGGTACTTGGTGGGAAGGGATGTGGCAATGCCTAGCTGCTGCGGATGACAAATAGTAACCCCACATTATAGTTATCCTAAATAGAATTATTTGGTAACCATTCCTTCCATCCATTTTTCTACTTAAAAGCAAGGTTGTAGATATATTGGTTACACAACTTCTATATTAAATTGCTTATAAGCAGTGTTTTGAAAGAATGTAGTTCATGAACACCACACGTTCACAAGTTCACATTCATTTTTAGTGAATGATACGTGAATGTTACTCGTTTTTATTAAGTTGAACGTGAATGACGCTTATATTTTAATGAATTGGATTGATTCTTAAGGCGCTCAATTTATTTGCCATTTAATGAATATAAGTTTAAAATATATCGATTAATTATTATACAATAATATACTTTTATTGTAATCCCTACTCAAAAAATACTTAAAAATTAAGTGAACACATTTATTTGCCAATGAGCTTGAATTTGAATGCGTTCCTTTTGATAAAAACATGATCCCAAACGTGAAAGAGTTTTTTTAAGGTTTGAACGTGAACGTGAACTAAATCATTTTTTTAATGAACATTCTGAACACTGCTTATTGAACTATTCAATATATTATGCAATAAGACAGAAAACAATATAATAAGGCTCCTAGAACTAGATTGTAGTGAACCCTAACAGAAAACTGTTGTTCCGACTATGGTTGCTCAAGTTATGTTTCAAAAATATCACACAAGGAGCGTTTAGTAGTTTTTCATTTTATGACAATGCATTTATGATAGGGTCCATTTATTTCATATAGTTGTGCAACCAGTATATCAATAACCGTGCTTATGAGTAATCCCTACACATAATATTTTTATAGCTGTGCCACCTCTAATTATTGTTCCTTCTCCATAACTTTTTTTGTAATTAGCTTGAAAATGGCCCTTTGTAAATAATTTTAATATCGATTGCCCCAAATGTTACTTAACTCAATCCTGTGGAACATCGTCAGCCAAAATTGTGTGGCAAAATTATTGAACGAATATCAGAATCATTATATCTAAATCCAATGAAGACCAACAATTGGTGGACCACCTTCTCTAATTACATACAAATTTAAATACCTATTATTTGTACTCTATATAAATACAACTTCTATTTTGATATAACCCATTGAAATAATTAGTGATTGCACTTAATATCTTAATTTGATACCATTCATATTCAAATCTTCTTACTTTAATCTTATTTTCATAAAATTGCTCAACAACATTGCAGAAATAAACTAATTTTTATCAATTTAAAAAACTTGTCATTTTTCTATCTAAGTTGATCTAGTTAATTTAACCTAAAATTAAATAACAGAGTGAAAATAAATAACTTCCAAACTAAAAAAGTCCAACAATAAAGTCATTAATTATTTTTGCTGTTTTTCTAATAATTCTAGATAAATTTCCATATAGTTTTTAGTTTCATAAACATTTTTCAGTCTCACTTTAATTGCATAACTTGCATTAAAATTTTTTTAACTTCCAAATTGAGTTTTTCACCACAGTTACTCCTTATAGTAATTTTGTTTAAAAGCTTCATATTTCAAATTAGTTTATTTCACTTTAGTAGACTTAGGTTGATGTTACTTCTAAAGGTGTTATTTAGGAAAAAACGTAGTTTTCATGGTTAATTATGGTACAACCAAAGTAAATAGAAAGTTACTGTTACAAGTGGTTGCAAAATTTAATGTAGAGATTATAATATGAACAAAATGGTTACTGTAAAATTTATATAATTAGTAAAGTTGTTTCAATTTACATATTTGTATATTAATATAAGTTCAAATATTGTGAAATTTTTATACTATTTTATTAATTTTTATATTATGTGGTAAATTGTATTATTATTATTATTTTTTTTATAGGTTAATCATCAACTACATAGGTTATTAGCTTATAGGTGTTAATTTCTACATTAAATAATTATAAGTTGTTGTACAATTCAATTTTTTTTAAGTATAAAATTACGCTATGAAAGTTTGAAAACGAACCAATTGCTTCGTACAGGTTGTCTGGGATGTTGAAATCTTTTCTAGCTTCGTTGAAGTTTGGACAGTGGATGATGATATGTTTGATAGAGTAGTTTGTGTTGCATGTTGGGCATAGGGGTGGTCTGTCTTTGCCATAAGATGACTGTGTGTGAGTTTCGCGTGACCGATTCTTAGTCCATTAAATTGTATTATTATTGTTCATGGTAATTACGTTTTCGGCATTTTACTAAAAACTAAAAGTAAATAAATTAAACTTTTATTTTAATCATTGGAATATAATATAAATTTTTCAAACAATTACTGTATATATTTTTATTTTTTTATTTTTTTATTTTTATATAATATATATAAATATTTATAATAAAAATATACCTTTGGTCCTAGCATTGATTATATAATCCATAGATTGCTCACAGATCGATTTTTCGGTGGTGTACTGTGGAGTGGTGGCCGCAATGAAAGTGTTGCCGTAGTGACTATGGTTAAGTATGATCAAGTGTAGTACAGGCGGCCTCTGTTAAAAGCGCTAGTAGTCTCTTTTTGTGTTATTAATATTGTAGTTTTATTATTGTAGTTGCTTATTATCGCTATCTAGGTAGAGTTTTTATTCGCCACTGAAAAATCGCCCAGTGAGAAATGTATGGTTGCTATCAGGGATAGGCAATTTAAAGTTACTAGATATTTTGACAAGTGTTAAACTATTTATAGACATATGAAGTTTTCGATTTTTATTTGTTTTTTTTTTAAATTAATGCCGATAAATTTTTTTTCGCTCAGTTAAAAAACTCGAAAATGTAAAACCAGGTTCCTCACAAGTTGTTGTTAGTGGAGATTAAAAAAAAAGTTTAGATGTAAACACATCTACAATAATTTTCTAGGAGCATTTGAATTTAGGATTGTGACAAAATTTGTAAAAATCAGGAAAATTTGCAAATTATTTTAATCATAACATTTTTTTTTTTATATCTAAGATTTTAAAATTAAATACAAGATTTCCAAAAAAATGTATCAACAACATTCAGACAAATTAAATTTTTATGAGAGTTTGAAGTGGAAATTTTTAAAATATATATTCACTTCTTTTCTCATTTTGCCATTTTCTTATTTTGTTGTAATTAAAAAACGAATAACTGCAGGTACTTTAAATGTACACCTTATGATTATCAATTCATATACTTTAACAAAATTTTGACTCGTTTTGAGCTGTTTCCGGACATTTTAAATTTTTTTAGTTTTTTTTATACAATTGTTAATAAAAATTTATTTGTTGTGTCAAAAAACTTGGAAATTTAATATAACGCATATCATTAAAAATGTACAAATAATTTTATAGTTAAGGGTTGAAAATTTAAGACAATGTTCTCCACAAGTAGGTTATATTGTAACCTAAAAATCTAAAAATATATAAGCACAGATTTTTTTTAGTTTTTTAAGTATATGATGTTATTTTATACATTGAAGACTTAGGAGGAACCAGAATTTGTTAAAAGTATTTAGATTTTTTGAAATTATTAAAATATTATAAAAAATAAATTTTCACAATGTATGCTTGTAACTGCATCAGTAATTTATCCCTACACGATTAAGTGCAACCAGCCATTATCTATTTTAAAAAATAAACTAAATGTTATGTTGAAATTCTGATACTTCTATAGTTCTACATATTAAGCATAAAAAATCACACATTTATACTTAAATCAAACATCAAAAATAAAATTTTTAGGATCGTAAATCATTGAGAAATTTTAGTAACCTAACCTGACCTAACCTATCATGGCTCAATGATTTCACCCAGCAATTTTATACATCCCAACATCTCAATAATATTTTTGTTGCATGGAATTTTAACTTAACTGAAACTTTTAACCCCGACCAGTGATTTGCACCTATGCTTGGATATCAATAACTTGAAATTTATGTGATTAAAATATTTGGTCGATCAAAATAATATTCTATTAAATAATTCTTTTAAACTTTTTGAAAATATTTAATTCATTTTAGGTACCTTTTATTTTCTTATCTAAACTAAATTATTGGTTAAATATTCTATATTATTTATTCATTGAAATTTAGTATTTTTCGTAAGTATTATACTTATTGGCTTTGAAATTAAATTCACCATTCCTTGTAATTATTTTTAATATAATTATGCTCTACAGTATATATTGATAGTTATTATTTTGAAAAATCTTTTTAAATTCAAGTGATTGAGAAGAAGTTATAAGAAATTTAGCCACGGAGTTTTGTGATTCCTGTTTGGGATTATGTTATTCATCCGTAAATAATTTTTGCGATGTTAATACATTTCTTGGTAGCTCAATATGATGTAAAAAATTGTCATTGATATTAAAGACCTGCTTTTATTTTTTTAAATTAAATAAAAAACAATTGTTTCTGAAAGAAACCATTAGCTTTAAAAAAAAGTATCACACTATCAGTAGCTACATAAGTTACTGGATACTAATATTGAGTTAATATTTGTGTATATAAATAATAAATAAATAATTATGATATTAAATAATGCTAAATCGTTAATATTAAATATTTTTCATTTGATTAGTTTTCATCAAATTATTTGTATTACAGTTTTACTTATAAAACCTATATAATAAGAGCGATGAACACTTGGTGAATTATTACTAATATATGTACAGCTCGAAGTGTTAATATGTTATATAATATTATAAAACAAATAAAAAATTATATAGAATAGCTAAATTTATAACCTTTTATATGTTAATTATTAATTGGGACTTATTTTAAAATGTAATTTAATTTTAATTTTTTTTAATTTTTGTATTTTTATATTTGACGATTGATAGTGTTCTGGACAGAAAATGGTGATTCATTTATTTGTAATAAATTGTTAAGCAATCAGAGCTCATTTGCTTATATTCACTTTCTTATAATATATAGGCCAATGGTGTCAAACTCAAATTCCCAATGAGTCGCATATTTATGTGCCAAAGGTTCTTGCCGTTTACAGGTCAAACCCTTTTTTTTCTCATCTTTATATTAAATCAAAATAAATTTGAAAAATGAAAAAAGTATTTATTTCTTCCATTGATAATAAATTATAATTATTTTAATTTAACTGTATTTAATACTAGGTATTACAAAGATGTACATATTGATTTTTGTTTTATAATTATTTATTTTAATTTAAAAAATGTTTGAAGATATAAATGTTTCATGCTGGCAACATATTTGAGACCACTGATATCTGACTCTATAGTTATAATTAGAGTTAGGGTGTTTATGACTGCTTTTTTTCCTCTAAACCATAGTTATACCCGAGTACAATATAAATTCAATTCATGAAGTATAGATTACAAATGTGCAAACTTATTTTGCATATTTTTACATATTAAAATATTTGAGCATATAAATGCATATATTGATTATTTTTAGATTAAGTAGAATCTATTTTATAAATTATAAGTATGATACTGAAAATTGCCCATAATTTATATTATTAAACAATGTCAATGATCATTGTTAATTGTGTTCATGAGTAAGACCGTAGAAAATAATAAGATAATATATTTATGAAAACATACCATATTGGATCGTCGACTTCCTTTAAATTTGAAATAGCATCATCATATTATTTTTATACAGTGTAATCCTGATACTTAAAGAGTGCTTAATCTATGTAAAATTTAACTTAAATAGATTGACAACTAATTAATATTATTTTTTTCATATTTAATAGCTATGCATTTTATAACAAAGTAATTTTAAATAGGTATTGCAAATTCAGGAGTACACATTTTTTGTTAATTAATGTTAACCTTTTTTTGCATGCTATATTTGTTAAACAAGTAGGTATATTTAATACGTCTTAAGGTATATAATTGCATATTTGACATTTTTAAATGCATATTTGAATGAAATATTGTTCATTAACATGTAGAATAAGACGTAATAACTGTGTCTGGCTCAGTAGGGTGGTGCATTCAGGAGAAGTTGTTCCACAGTGAACTAAGGAACAAAATTATTTTTAAAATTATAATAGAAATATCCTATAAAGAAATGGACTGATAATCTTCTATACACAGTCAGTACTTAAAAAAAACTAGATTGTTAGAAAGAGATTATATATATATATTTATTAATATGTTTATGAAAGAGGTAGAGTATAGTTTAAGAAAATTATAAAAGAAAATAACTATATATTATGGAATAGTAAGCAAATTTAGTACAGGTTGATCAATGGGAAAATGATTTGTTCTTCCATATTATCTTCTTTTATGCTCTATGTATTTTTAACAATGTTGGGCTCCGTACCTTTCTTTCTTCTATAGTAGGTTTCAAGAAAAGTGGCCCTCGACAGTGGCGCGACTAGTGACGATATTTCTGAATAACAGTGGTTCTCAAATTGGCCGGTAGCTCTTCGAAACATAAATTTAAATTCAACTTGCTTTGTTTGGAACGAGTTCTAGAGCCTCTGCGTCATAACGATCACCGGACGCGCCACCGTCGAGGGCCACTTTCCATGAAACCATCTATAGCAGTCCTCAGTATTTTTTTATAGGCCTGTGTATAATAGTTTTCGAATACCTAGAATATCGACTCATAACACGTTTTGACTGAAACACTGCGCCACAGAATGCCACTATTTGTAATATTATTTAAAAGTTTCTTACCTAAGTGATTAGACCTAAGGTAACATGAGATTGTAATAGTTTTTTTTGTTAAACAAATAACAAAGTAAATAATTCTTTCACTTTTTATCAAAATTATTTTTCTCCGTAAAATTGGTATAATATTTTCCCCAAGTAAGTATTCTACAATATGCGTCAGAAATATAAATTTTATGATTCTTTGCATATTTGCTATTCCTTAGAAATATAGGTTACCTAGTTTTAATGTTTATGATTTCTTTTTAAAAGCAAACTAATATTACAATTTGATTGAGTTTATAGACTTAAGTTCCAATATTCAAAATTATGTTGTATTTTGTCTTATAATATTATATAGTATTTAAAGTTTTTGTATTAAGTAATCATTGAAAATGTGTATTGTGTATAAACTTTGAATACATTTATTATTTTCAATCATAAAATTATTTTCTGATGGCTACATAAGCGAAACTAGAAAATTTTGACAGATTGTTATTAAAAAATTTATTAAATAGAGAAGTAGTTTCGCCTATGGATAGTTGTTTTATAATTTTATACTTGTTTTAACTTTGATTTTCAAATTTCCATAAAATAAGTGATGCTAGCCATTAAAATATCAATTAAATTACTGTTTCAGATCCCACACCCAATCATAAATCTATTTTGAATGAATGTAATCCTCTTGAAAAAGCAGGTTCATCAAAAATAGCCACTACTAACAACAAAAGAAAAACAAATGACTTTGATGAAGATATTATTGGTAAAGTATATTATATTAAATAAATGTAATATTGATTGATTTCAGTAATATTCTATTTATATAAATGATTAGAAAATGATGAAATTAATAAGAATATTTTGTATTGTTTGTATCTAGAGTACAATAACACAAAAAAATTTAAATTGCTTGAGAAAAATTCAAGTACAGATGATTTTGAACAGAATACTATTGATTCTTGTTTAGGTGAGTTGATGTCTACATATGTTCTTCTTATTTATTGATATTAATAACTATAAATATTATTCATATTGCATTATTTCATTTTGTTTTAAAATGTCAAATAGATTATCTCCGATTGTAAAATTGAATTTATGCAATTCACTTGTGTTATGTATTTTAAATGTTATTTCGGATTATGGGTATTACATAAAAAATTAAAAATTAAATAAACAAAATAATTTTTGTTTCAGATCATGCATCATCTGATAATAATAGTTTTGGTACAGGGAAATTAATTCAAACTGAAACTAATAGTTCATCCGTACAAACAACTATGTTAATTAATAATCATGAAACTAAGAATATTAACGGTAAGATATCTTTTAGTGTTGTTTATATTCTAATTTTGGTGTGGCACCCTCTTAAATTATAGATTTAATTAAAATAATATAATATTCAGCTGCTTGTTGAAATATAAGAAAATTACTAAATAAACTAATAATCTATGTTTATAAAATCAATGGTTAAATCAATCTATACAAAAAGTAAATCACCCAATTAAAAACATTTTACTATTTTATTAGTTGTATTATTTTTTATAAACAATTATTTATTCAACTTGATGTTTAAACAAAATTTTCATACATTTTATTTCCAACTTTTCCATCATTAATACTATTGGTAATTTTTAACACATTGTAAGAAAGTGTATATAATAATTGTTATGTTAAAATCTCAATAAAGATAAGAAAGTTTCCTAATTTATTAGAAATACTTCTTATTTTCAATTTATCAATATAACTTTGTATAATATCTTCCATTAATCATGCTTTATTTTACTAAAAGTTTGACTTAAGTCTCAAACTTATAAATAATTTATCTTATCATATACAGACTATTAAAATTATAAATAGTAAATGTTTTTTAGTTTATTTATGTTATATTTGTTTGATTTGTAATATAATAGAATACAAACGAATTGTATTGGTAATTTTATATTGTATCCGCTTATTTGGGACACATTGTGTGGTAACCCATATGTTCCCATAAACCAACTGTCCCGATTATCCGAAACGTCGTTCGGGACCATAGCAATTTGTCCTCATTTAGTGGTGTCTCCTTTACGCGATGTCCCAATTAAGCGGATTCTATTGTATTCCTTATTTTGCTATACTCTGTCTGATAATAAGGTTAACCGCAGGGGCTTTTGTTTTTGAATACCATACTCTTAGATGCTTCACTAAAACTTAGCTTGCATTTTGCTTATAGGATGTTAGCGCATTATTTGTTTTCTCTCAGACCTACGCTCAATATAGATAAAATGATGTTTTTTGTTATTTAATTATCTAGTAAAATAACCCGTGACAAAAATTTAAGAGGTCTTGTATTTGATTATTATTCAACTGAAAAAAATGTTAATTTAAATTAATATTTAATTGTTTTGAGACAATATTTGAGACGAATTAAAATTCATTTCATACTTCAAAAATATTATTCTCTGTAATTTATCTAATGGGCGATTACACAAATAATAAAACAGACTAATTTTGGATGAACATGTTTTGTCTTAGGTTGTACATGGGCTAGGGAGGGTAAACAGTGTGCTGTCATCCTCTTAAGAGGTCGCTACATACGCGTGTTGTCTGCATCTTACAAATTTACAATACAGCAAAAATTGCTTTCAAATATATTCCTTCTGTATTTATAGTAGAATTACCAAAATTCTACAACGCACAGGGAAGAACTTTCTTTGTGTTTTATTTATTTATTTTTTTTGATAGCACTAACCAATAATTTTTAATAATTAAATGAAAAAAACCTAATGTTTTCAAACTGATAACTTTAATTGTATTCATGTTATTCAAATAATAATAATGCTACGACACAGGTTAAGTGCACTGTTGAAATTTTAGTAATTCTGCTTTAAATACAGAGAGAATATAATAGTTTAAATGAAACAGATTTTGCTATGTTGTACATTTGTAAGTCGAAGACAACACGTGCGGGTGTAGTGTCTCCTTAAGATAACACGGTAAAGAATTATATTGGCTGCAGCAGATAATTGTACTTATTGTTAATCTTAATCGAATAATTACTATAAGAAATTGCATGCCCACATTCAGACCATAGACTAATATAACAATTTATCATTAATTTGGTATGTATTTATTATTTCAGAGTTAAGATCCAATAGTGAATATGCTTTACAATTGAATGAAAGTAATTTTTCACTAGAAGGCAGATTGTCAACCTCAGAAACAGAATCAACCAATAAAGATAAAATTAATGATAATACAGCAGAAGCTAGTGAGGGTATGGATGAATGAATGAATGAATGATTTTAAAATCATTGCATTTAATATCAACTTTCTATACTTTAATGTTATTTATTTATTTTTATGTGTTTAGTAGATGCTAATGTGAATGTATCAAAAGTACAAATAGAACACGAGGATAACGCAACAAAAAAATTTAAGTATACAAATTGTTTTAATGTCGAAGATGCTATTGTTCCATTATGTGAGTCGAATATTGAGAAGATAGTTAATAATTATGAAGATGTACCTACTGAAGGTAGGATCATTTAGTGCTATTAGTAGTATTCTATTTATACTTATTAATAGTATTTCGATTAATAATTTCTTTTAAATTAAGTACTGTAATATTTTATTTTGAACTGCTATAATTGTGAATGGTGTTTATTTGATATTTAAATTGAATTAGTTGTTTGAAACAGGTTCTTCATTTACAACAAATATTTTCATAGATGGCCACATATAAAATCAATTATAAAATACAATAATATTAATCATGATATTTTAGACCCCATTATTTCAGGATTTTGTATATATTTTTACTTCTTTTTCCTAATTCAATTTCATATCGGGATTTGAAATGGACCACTTATTTCATATACTTGACTTATTTGTTTCTATTCATTTTACTGCCACTTTCAATATAGATCAACTCATTATCTTGAAATGGGGGATTTGTTCAATTTATTTTTTCATTGTTTTTCTTGTTATTCGATGGGAATTCCTCTATCTTTTTTTGTAAATTATGTTCTTCTTGAAGTTCTACCTGTATATTCCGTGATGTTTTGTCAAAACGATGGTACTAATATCGTTACGCTATATGTTTATCTTCATTTCACAATTCGTTACATTTCACCATGTAATAAAAATAATTGAACACAGTTACAAGGTTTGTAGTTCAACAAATTATTAACATTTTATTAAAATATATTGTGTTATTTATTTGAACAATATTTTCTTTTTATTATTATTCTAATCGTTTAATACGATGTACATTTAAAAATACGTATAACAGGGAGCAATGTTTAAACAATTTTAATATTTGTTCTGACTCACGGTTTGGGTGGATATTACTTGTGAATATTATGGTGAGTGAAATGGAGTGGTTGAATTGGATGGGTACAGCGTTTGGCTCGTTCACGGCAGGTGGTCTGTATACTAACACATGTACTGCAGGCAACGTCGGACCTCGTTGATAGTGTAGCGGCGGCGTTTTGACGGCGGCGGCACTTATTCGCGATTCGTTGACAATGTTATGCGGTTATCAGGATGGGTACACGGCGGCAACGTTATTTAACGAATACGATTTCGTTTTGTACCTACTTTAGATATTAACGACGGCGCGTAATATTATTATATTATTGAAAATGATATTAAAACCGATACGGCGGTGTTCGATACGGACGGCGGCGACTCGGCTCGGCGTTCTAGTATGACAGCGGTATAACGGTATTTGTAATTGTGCTGTGTGGACCTAAATAGGAATAGGCCTCAGACACAAACGAATTTTAATCTGGCTAAACGGATTTATTACATGCAAGGTCGGGCGGCGGCTACGAAGGCTCGGCGTCCACGACGGCAAAATAACGGACAACGCTCGTAGTTTTACTTGTCTGGACCTTTGTATATAGGCCCCAGACACAACGTGGAGTCTACGGATACGAAGTCGGGCGGCGGCAGCGACGGCTAGGGGTCCACAACGGTAACGGCAAATTACGTTGAAATGCTCGCAGCTGTACTGTGTGGACCTACTAAATTAGGCCCCAGACCCAACGTGGAGTGGGCAGGTATGAACGGCGATTCTTGTCTGTATACTGTTTGAACCTAAAGAGGCCCCAGATACAGAAAATAATTAAACGGCACACCACGACGGACGTGACAACGGCGGACTATAGCGGCGGAAAGCGAAACGAATCTCGACAGTGCTGTTTGAACCTAAAGAGGTCCCAGACACGGTAGAGATCGACGGCAGAACTTAACGAGTCTCGACCGTGCTGTTTGAACCTAAAGAGGTCACGGACACGGTAGACAACGTCGGCCACGGGTTATACTTGTTGACGTATACGGTGACGGCGGACAATCAGAACAGTGATTTTGTGTATGAGATTTCCTTGACTTTATTCATTAACTTGTTATGTTTTCTGCGTATGTTTGGTTCAGGATTGTTGGTGGATTATATTATAAGTGTCTAGTAACTTTAGTAAGTTACTAGCTTTAAGTTTTGACGTTTTACCTATTGTTTTTTCCGCGCACGGTAAAAGGGCGGCGCGGGCTGCGCCATCTGTCTCGCGTACTAACCACACTTGTTATAAGAAATGACTTGGTTTGGTACCTATTTGGTCTGCTGTCGGCGCGGCGGTAAGAGTGACAAATATGTTATGTTCAGAGATTCAACATAGATGTTTTCTGTCTCGTTACATAGTCCCCTTTTTTATTAATTAATTTTGACGTTTTTGAATCTTGAGAGGAAATGCCGAAATTTATGAATACATTTTTTTTCTTTTTGTAGAGAGGCAGAAGTGATTTTTTGAATTTTGATTGAATAAATCCTTTATGTTTTTTTTATTTTTTTTATTTTTACTTGACGTGGTGGCTGACGATGGTGCGCCATTTCCAGGACGACGTTGTCTTCGTATTTCTTGCCGCGCTAACCGGTACTGTTCACGCTTCAGTTTCTTGTTGCTTATTTTGGTGATCGTGTTGATCTGCGGAATTTCGATTGACAACAGAGGGGTGGTTGTGGGTAGGACGTTCAATGTAGTTGGCATAGCACGGACGGTGTTTGGCATCGTGAACGTAGGCGTTAGTGAATACCTAGTCAGTTTGGCAGCACTTTCCCGTTAATATCGTGCTTGTTCCTTTTTCTGTTCAACCGGTGATTTTGTTGACGTTATCTGTTGTATGGATGCTTGGTACTCGCTGTCCAGGGTTAAATACTCACTGCCCATTAATTCGAGGAATTCTTCATCTGTATAGTCATCGGACAGGAGCTGGAATGTGTTGGCACTCATGATTTCTACGGCTTGTGATGGGCCTATTTGGAAAAGTCATGATCACCCAAAATACTTTATTTTATTTAATTAGGAGAAGAGAGGAATGGATCACAGGATTTTCCTGGATCAGGATGGAAACACAAGTCTTCGTCTTTCTTCGGTAATGAGTGATATGGTTTGACGTTCTTGATGTTGCATCGCATTGTTTGTCCCATTGAATCTCCTACCAATACTGTGTTGTTGTTACTTACATGTACCAGGGTGTATGGTTCCCTGTACAGTAAGAAGAATTTATGGATTTCATGGTCTTCACCCGATGATAATCTGTGTTCTTTGACTAGCACTTGCTGGCCAACTTGGTATTGAATGAACTTCTTTGCTTGATCTTTGACGTGGTGCCTTGCGTCGGCTTTAGTTCTTAATTTTTTTCTGACTACTTCAATCCCTAAGTATTAAGTCGTGCATTTTTTAAATTAATTTAAGACCAGATTTTACAATATGAAAATTTAATTTATTTTTTAGATTTTACAACTGATACATATTTTTGTTTTCTACAACTTTTTTTGTCATTTTTGTTACTTAATCATTTGGTTGTTGGTTCATCATTATCTTTTCTCTTGTGACTATGTTCACAATTTGTTTGTATTACATTTTCTTCTTTTTCTAGAACTGAGTTCCTGGGTGAAATTGCTTTAATATTGTCTTTGCCTGATTTATATTGTATGGCTCTCAGAGAAGTTTATTAGACTTAATGTACTTCATGTTTTTACCTTTAATGTCTCTGAAGGCTCAAGATCTAAAATGACTATAAACTCTCTTCCCAATATAAGAACAACAGGCTCTTTTATTGCTAAATAAATTGTTTTTTTTCTTTTCTTGACTAGGGTTTCACAAAGTGAGTTGAGAATATTGTTTTCTTGAGGTTATTTAAATATTGCACCTAAACATAATTTTCTTATATCTGTTAACTTTTTTCTATGCTTGTGTGAGTATAGTAAACTTAAGTATATTTTAAACCTTTCTTGTACATGGTAGGTTTTTTATGTTTTTGATCAAAGTATTTCTTATTATATGATTGATTCTTTACTATATTATTTGTTTAATTATTTATGGAGAAAAAAACTTCATTTACAAAGAAAAATTTGTGTATAAGTATACACAATTCTAGGTACAATATAAATTGTAAATATGTATGTCCACTTTACAGTATACAACACGAATACATGTATTTACAATATCAAAAAACTTAAATAACAATAATAATAATAATAATGACAACATAATTATAATAATACATATAGATAATAAGCTACTAATTTATAACATAGAATTAAATTAAATCACAAACTTGTTTAATATAATTAATACTACAATGAAATGAGCATATTTACTGGTGAGCTTAAAGAATATTTCGAATGTACGTTTCTTATGAAAAATAAATTATCTTTGAGGTGTTTTTTTCCTGTTGATTTCAAAATGAAGTTTCTCTAATAAAGGACTACAATTTATTTTATTTTGAGAAGTTTGAATAAAAAATTTAAATTTAGATTTTTTCTGAGATTTTTTAAGGAAGTCATATTGAAAAATCTTCGAGCTCTATCTTAACCACCGTTAGGCTGTCTTTCTACTTTATATTTGAATGAAATGGATCATAAGTAAGTGTTTTGGATAGAATCCAGGTTTTGAGTAAGAGTTATAAAATGTGGAGACCTGATGATCGTAGCATACTCTTTGTAAAGAAAGAGAAATTTATATTTTTTAATGCATTTGAACTATTAAATTATAAGCAATAGTTTTATTAAAAGCTAAGTTTTGAGGTTGAGGTTTGGTTTTAAAGGTGAGTGAGATAAAGGTTGGAAAACTATTCACAATGACATGCTTATCCACTTTCAGATTCTTAATTATTATACATCATTAGTTTAAGAAGATTAAAATTAGGTTTTTTATCATAAAAAAACTTCCAGAAATATATAGGGGATTGTGCCTTAAACAGTTTTGATCATAAGATAATTTATTAGTTAGTATAGTAATTTTCCTCTTTATTTAGCAATGACTTCTTAAAGTTGAGAATTTTATAAAATTAACAGTTGAATCAAGATGATCCTTTTTACTAACTTGGGTATGTTTCTATGCTCTACTATTCTCGTGTACCTAGTCCATTATATTAAATAACAATTCATCTTCGCCATTATTTGTACTACTTAGTACGTAAATGTTGGAAAAAGTTTTTTGACTGGATACAATCCAACGTTTATTCTTTTGTATTAACCGAATCCAATTCCAGGTACTATTTAATTGTCTCTAGGTAGAAATAAAAAATAATTTTCGTAGGATATTTGTGGTGTTGAAAGCGATGTTGGAAGTGTCGAAAAGCGATAATAGATGGTTACGCGATGGTGATAGACTGAGGCAGTTGAAGACGAAATGTAATAATATATCGAAAACCATTGGGTCATTGTGGAATGTACAGATGGGAGAATCGTTTAACGAACGTTTGAAGGAATGAGAAGGAAGTAGGGTGTGGCCAAAGCAGTGACGGGAGAACGATACGGCACTTTTTTTGAGAGATTGAGGTTGTAAAACCAGGGTAGAGGTGAGATGGTTGAAGATATATTTCTGTACTAGGTGGCGAAGTAAGGAGTTAGTAATTCCCAGAAACGCCTTAGGTAGGTTCAAAGGTTGGGGATAAAGTCAGACCATGGAATTTTTGAACTCTTGGGGCTCCTGAGAGATGCCGAGGTTTTTGCTAATTTGTCAGCGAATTCACTACGTTCGATGTCAGTATGTCCTGGCACCCATACAAATTTAATGTCCATGCCTGCTCGCTTTAAGAAATATAAAATTTCCTGCTCGTGATTATCAGTGGAGAAAGATATAAATTAAAGGTGTTAGAAGAGAGAGCGCTTGAAAACAGGAAAGTGAGTCAGTGGCAATGAGAGATTTATTCTTTGGTAAGGAAGATATAGTGTTGAGAGCTTTTATGGTGAAACATTCAGCTTTGAACGACGATTTAGTGGATGGAATGTTATTAGAAAATTAGATTTGAAATTCCGGTATATAGAATGAATACCTAGCTAAAAGGAGAGAGACAAAGCTGTACTTGAAAATTAAAATAAAACGTGGGAAAGAGTTGTGAATAAATTCGAGAAAAATATTATTGACATAATTTGGTGGTGCAGATATTAAAAAATTACTTGAATTATTAAGGAATTCTTTGTATATGTGGGTATTGGGGGAAAGTAATCGACATTGGAAATTGATTTAGTATAGTGGAAGCTTGTTTGATAATATAGTTACGCGTATCTTTGTGAGAATGTGCTGTCAAGACAAGAATTGGAAAAGTCTTTTGACCATAGTGCCCCAAGAGTAATACATTTTGAGGAAGATATTGAAAATATAGGATTCTTTGTTAGATAATTTTTTGAAGTAAGAGTTTACCGGTGAGCCATCTGGCCCTAATGTGAAGCGGTTGGCGTGATGTTTCGACCTCAATGACAGAAGTAGGGGTAGATTTTACTGTTGAGAGTGGGTATAAGCACCTTCACGCCAGCAGACTCTGAAATTATCTATGCCAAAATTATTTAGACAGCTTACAAATTCAATAAACCAATTTATGTTAACTAACATACTGTCTTTGAATTCTTTATAAGTTTTACATTATCATCTAACACATTAGTGTCTGTTTGTGGGGTCGTTACACAAGCAATACTGCCACAGTGCTCAAGACCACAATTGAAGTTTATTATTATTGTACAGGACAGTAATCTTTAAAACAAACAAGATGGCGTTTGTGGGAGTGTCGCGTGTGCAGAAACAATACTAATTGATTATATCAGCGGTTCTTAACATTTTGTTGAACACGGACCCCCAATGAAATATTTTTAGAAATCGCGGACCCCCGCTACCAATTTTTTGTCGAATACCTTTTTTTACAAAACATATCAAGTTATCATAACCAAAATTATAATAGCTATTTTATATTACAAATTAATAATTATAGAAGTAGACATAACAAAATATACACATTTATAATTATTTTGATTAAACTTAATTTTTCATTTTAAACTTTAACATCATTAAACACTTAAATTAAAAAAAAATTGTAATATAAATTATTTTATCACGGCCCACCGCGACAGACAATATAAGATTATAATTTTATATTAAACAAAAATAATAATCCAAAAATATTGTAATAATGCACTCATGTCACGTATTAACTTATGTTAGGTGATAAGGCTGCCGCGGACCCCCGACATGAGTATTGCGGACCCCCAGGGGGCCGCGGACCACAGGTTAAGAACCGCTGGACTGTATTATCTCCTCGCCAACCGCATCTCCAAAATCTGAGCTCTGGGGTCTTGAGCGGTGTCTTGTGTTGAAATAATCTTTGTTTTATGAATTTTGTAATCACATGAATACTATTTATGTCTAGTGGAGAATCAAAATGCTACAGCGTCTAATAAAGAAGATGAATTAGAATCTGATGATTTACCAAATTTTAGCAATTCAATGAGTGTTTCAATAGAAAATGACCTAACAAGTGAGTGAAATGAGATAAATAATAAATGTATATTAAGAAATAGAGGTATATTTATAATTTAAATAAATAAAATTAGTTGTAATATTCCCGTTTATAATTATATTAGGGCTATTTTTCTTGAATTTGTAGTTCTTATCCTATTGCTAATAAATTTTGGATAATTTACTATCTAGTAGTTTAATTTAAAATTATGTTTATTTATTTGAATCTTAGGTGGTAAAAAAAAACTATACAAATGTAAAGGAAATTAAACCATTACAAATTAGAATTGAGTTGATAAAATTTGCTCAATAAGGTTTAGGTAGGGGGGGGGGGGGTAAATCCCCCCAATTTTAAAGATCGGACTAATCATAGGTATATCAATTTTAGAAAAAAATATAGTTTGAGGGGCTTTAGTCCCCTCGAAAAATTTGGGCGATAAAAAAAAATATAATATTTCCTGAAATACAATTTGGTTGTATTAAACAATTTTAAATATAATATTAATAAGTATTTTAATATATTTTACTAATTTAAAATTATCATTTATTATTAGTACAAACTAATGATTGCCATGAAGAGATTATAATTTCTGAAATCGAGGATCAGTTAATGTTGGATGACCAACAAGATTCAATTAATTCATACATTGATTCAGTTGGTCATGAGTTAAGTAAGTGTGCTGTATATTAAGCATTAATTCTTTTGAAGTATATTTAAATAAATTAATTGAGTTTCTAATCATATTTGTAATTTATTTATTTAATCATTAAAATTTGGCTACCAATGAGTTAACTTTTATTTCTTCATTTCTGAATATGATTTGATTCCATGGAGTCTATTATTTGTAAATTTGTTTTTATTTACCTAATAGGTTATAAATTGAATAAATCTTCAAATGAAACTGAAAGTATGTTAAAAGAAAGTACAAATTTAACTATGACAGATGGGTCCTTACATGAAACAAATATAGATACTGCTGAAATAAATACATTATTTGGTAATATAACATAAACAAATATTGAAGGTATTTTATTGTGTTAGATATTAATTTTCAAATTTCTTATACCAAGTAGAAACCGATTATTTTGAAGAGGTTACAACTTCCAATCCTAAAGAACAATCATGGCTTAACAATGAACAAAATTTGAATAATTCAAATTATGATATAGTTGGTAATAATTTAAGTAAGTGAGCTTTAAATAGTTAAGAGCCAAAGGTCCTGGATGCTTTATAACCCTTATTATGATATGTTGAGTAAAACGTTAAATATAGTATATTGCTTGTTACTCCTATATTATTATATTATAAAGAGTATTAAAATGATTCATTATCTCTATATGTTTACCTAACTGAGAATGTGACTCAACTATAAATTCCCCAAATGACTTATTAATAATTAATAATCAAATTAAATTGCAAATTATACTTCATATGAACATATACAGAGATAATAAGTTACAATTTGATACCTCCATAAATATATAATATATATAAATTCACTCTTCCAACTTAAAATGCTTATTAGCTTAAATTATTAGTTTAAATATCGTAGAACTATGTAATATTTTAAATATAATTGCTCAATTGTTTATAGCACCTTTTTTAGAAAAGTATTATTCGGTTTTAAGATTATGAATGAAGAATGGATGTCAAAATAGTAATAAAAAAAAAACAATAAGAAATGTAGTGTTATAACTTATAAGTTATAATACTTCAAATTATGTAAATTATTTAAAAATTAGAATTTGATGGAGGTAATGACCATTCTTTGTTGAAAAGAGTCACTGCTAGATTGATTTTTTTTATGATACAACTTTTATAAAATGTGTATAGATTAAAAAATGTGGTATTTTGCATTTCACATTATATTTTTAAATTTTTTTTGATAAAATAATTTTTTTTAATTGCACTTAGACAGATTATATTCTCTACATTTTCACTTGTTTTGCCTTTGCTCATGACATACTTGTTTAAATTGTTGTATAAGCCACAAAAAAGTATGCTTTTGATCATAGTCCATGTGTACAGATTGTTGTTATATGATACCTTAACTTACCTTACTAGTAATCATGTATAGTGCAGTTTAGATTAAATGTTTTTTCCAAATCGTGAAGTATACAAAAATGTCTAATCTGTTCATTTCAATGCAGTATAAATTATTGTGGCCTCTAGGTCCATTACTGTTGTCTGTGAAGACAATTCTTTTAATTTTTAAAATACATTTTATAAAATATTATTTTTGCCCATAATACCTGCAAAATTTCAAAAAACAATTACTAATTTTTTTAAATAAAATATGTTGAATAATGTCTAAAATATTAGTTAATAATATTAATTGTTGGTATACAATTTTTTGATTTGGTGATATTATTTTTCTGATTTTAAATGCAATTCTAAATAGTTTTTATAGCAATTTCTTAAAAATAATTGTTATCTTTTTACTTTATAGACCAGAAGCCTGGTACCTCTAATGAAACAGAAAGACAGCCTTCAAAAAATTTGAGTTCAACTATAATAGAAGAAGAGTCACAGCTTAAAATGAATTTAGATGGTAGTGTTATAATTTACTTTTGATAAATAGAGGGTATTTTATTGTTTTCTAACTAACAATTTTTATTAATATCTAGTAGATAATGGTAAATCTGAAAAAGTTTTAACTGATGAATTCAAGCAACATATGAAACCGGAGTGTGATGGTATTCTTAACTCAATTGATTTTTCAAATGAAAAACCATGTAAGTAATTGTTAATACAAAATAAGTTTATTTTTTTGTATTTTCATAAATTGGTTTTTTATATTATAGAATATCAATAAATATTAATTTTGAATTGATAAACCTCATTTAATTTAACAATTAAGAATGTTTGAAATTGTGATTTTTCTGTAAAAGTGATACAATCTTAATAATTTTCAACAATGGTTTTATTAGAGTCAATAATCACATACGATTAAATAAGCAGATTTACCCATCTGCTATAAAATATTATGTAAATTACAAATTCATAATTTAAAAATTTTTGAATTATAAATTAGTTATTATAATTGAATGGAAATTAATAGAAATATCATGTTATTGTCTCTGAATTTTCTTTTAACCTAATTGTGAGATTTAGATTATTTCTAGTGTAGAATAAATATATATATATATATATTAACATATTCTGATTCTAACCATTTTTATTAGTCTTAATGATTTCTATACCCTATGCAGCTTAACATTAAACCACTTTTGCATTCATGGACTGATCCGTAAATCACCGGCTGACCCCCATGCTATTGTTATGCATTTTGTTATTCATTCTTTCTCACTGTCATCAGTGCTGCCATAGTATATGCTCACAGTGGTGGGGGGAGTGTATAATGTTAGGAATGTGCTGACGAGATGAGTGTTGGTGAACCTAGTGGTTTATTCTTAACCTGAATAGAGAATATGTATTTATAAGTGAAATTCATCTTAGATGCTATTAAAACTTGAATATGAATGATGAATTTAATTTAATTATTGATCATACTAATTATAATATGATATGTTTTTTGGTATATTTTGTTTCTAAAACTTATAAATATTTATTTTATTTAGTATTTTATTCATTCAGTCTCCATAGGTTTTGCCTTCCCAATCCTCTTACCACTCAATAATTGATAATTGTGCTTTGCTTTTAAATAATGTTAATTTTTTTTTTTGTAGGTTGTTGCATTAATTCAATTCTTAGAGGAATGAATAAACAAATAGCTGATATCACGAAAATTCATTTCAAAGATTCGTTGACAGGCAACGAGAGGATTTTGGATTTTAGTCAAAGAAATACTGAAAATGGTAACTAGCATTACTATATTATATGTATATCTTTCATTTACAAGGTGCTTAGATTGTTTATTTAAAATTAATTATTATTTGAATAAAAAATTTAGTTTCTAAGTTGCAGCATTGAAATAATTAGTTTCCTTTCTAATTTCTGTAATGAAATTATTTTTATTTTTAATAATTGAATATAAATGTAAGAATAGGATACATATTTGCTTTTAATATGATTATGGCTGATAAATTTTGCCTTAAGTCATAATGAAATGTGTTTAATTGTTATTGATCTTATATAACTTAAAAAAAAATTTAGTTACTAATAATTAATTGACAGTTTTTAATAAGCTAAAATACATCATAGATTAAAAATGGTTGTTCACTTTAGTTACATACACATAATCCATAAATGTCTTCTGAATGTCAGTGACTTAAATAAAAACAAACTAGGAAGGTCCCTTTTGCTGTAAAGATTATTTCAGTTTTACCTTGTAATTGAGTAGATCTCTGAAAAATATATAATAAATTTCAATTCATAGTTAATACCAAATAAGAGTGCACTTCCTTGGTGCATCCAAATAAATCATTAACCTTCCAGCTGAGTCGAATCGTTCTGCAATTAGTCAACGTTAGTTGGCTGCAGTTGTTGCTGTCAGTTGGTTGTAATCAGTTAGCAACAGGGACTGCTTGTGGTGAGAAAACGTGTGAGAGTTTTGAACGGTTTTTGTCTGGCGCCTGGGGCTCTCTTATTTGGTACAGATAATTTGGATTGACATACCATCACCTAGATCCTTTATTTCTTAAGATTACTCATAGTAAATACACTTTTTACAAGTAATGAGATAGGTTGATTTAATTATTGAACTTCCAGGATCTACTTGTGAAATTATCTACAGCATACTGAGTATTAGAGTAAAAAAAAGAAATTTACTCTGATAAAACAAAAAAAAATTTAATAGAATTCTTTTGTTTACATTATTTACATAATTTTATTTGTTTTATGAATAGGGTGTAACTTCAATGATTGTATAAAACAAGAGATTTCGAATGAACATGGTAAAAATGTTAACGGTGTTGGTGATAATGGAAGTAAGTGTGATATTCAATTTGGCTCATTCTTATATTTAAAATTTATTTTGGCATTATAAAGATAAAAAGTAGTTCTTCTATTATGTATAAATTTGAAAAATAATAATTTAAAAATAATTTTGTTTTGAATTGGCAGGTTAACTTATGTAGCACTTGCCTATGTACTCTTATGTTATAAATGAATAGTGTAGGCATAAAAATTATTTATTTGTTTTTAACTTCTTTATCTTAGTAAAATAATTTTTTTTGAATTGAAGCAATGAATGTATTGATTTTACAATGAATTTTTTTTTTATCTGTGTAAAACTGTAAATGATAAGTAGTTGCAATAATGTTTCGATGTATACTTCAGTATCTTTACTGGCGGGAAAGTGAATCTAGTTAGTGTATTGATAGGCCAAAATTTTAAATACCCAGTAGTTTTCAAGGGCGCCAGGAAAAATAAAACTAAAACTAAGGAAAACTGGTATTTTTACGAAAAATCAATTTTGGTTTTTGGTGTAACTCTGAAAAAAATTATTGTGAATCGATAAAATTGTCACTGAATGTTTATACTAGCATTTTCTATAAGCCATACATTTGAACCATTAAAATATTTTGAATCATGTTGAGCTATTTATAGGCATATACAATTTTCAATTTTTATTAGTTTTTTTTTAAATTTTTAGTCAGTTCAAAAACTTCTAATATAATGATATATTGTTACAATAGTAATTAAAAACTTAAAAATATATGCACAATTATTTTTTATACCCGTTTTAAGTTCAAATGTTGACAAAATTAATTGAACTGAAAATGTATAAACTATTTAGTAGCTAAAAATGTATAAGAAGCTCAACTTTTACAGCTAAGAATTGAATATTTAAAACAATGTTCTACGTAAATAGTTAATTCTAAACCAAAAAAATCTAAAAAATATTTGAATACTGTTTTTTTAAAAGTTATTTTAAGTTAAAATGTTGACAAAATTGAGTATTAAATAACCAAGAATAATGATTTTAGTTATATTGTTGTAATTTATAAATATTATTCGTGGGTACTTGAAACTTTTAAAGAACATTATTATTTACAAATATGATAATTTTATCCAAATAATATTATTTCAACCTACTAATATCCTAGGCTCTGAAAGGTTTTTTTTGTACACAAGTGGCAGATATAGGAGGGATTACAAAGAGGGAATTTGCCTCCCCCCAATCACCCCGTAGTTTTTGTTTTTATAAACTGTGTTTTCCACTGTAATGCAGTAGCAGCGGATGTTGTAGATATTCATATTTCTAGAGTTACATGATTCAATTTCTATATTTGTTGGTAAATAACTGAATAAGAGGCTCCCCACCTTTATTTTGTATCGGGGCCCATCTTAATTACTGCATAAAAGTTTTGTTATTCAAGGTCGTGACTCACACATATGTGTTGCACAAGGTATCTTTCATACAATACGACTTTCATTTTAATCATTAATTTATCACTGGTATCAACATAATATTTATGTAGACAACTAGTTTCAGATTTTGAGTGAAGCAACATTTATTGAGTAAGCATGTTTTATTTCTTTTTCTTTCAACTTCAATATCTGTTATGGGTAAAGTTGGTACTTTTGAGAGTTCAAAATTGAAAATTCCTTGTCATTTTCAAAAGCATCTTGAAAAAAAAATAAAAACTGATTTTCACTCAAAAACAATTCTGAAACGAATAACCATAGATACTTAAATATTTCATTAGAGATTTGTTTAATCATTTTCTATAGTTACTTAAAATTTAAAAAATATTTTGACTGGTTTTGAGCTTTGTATAGACATATGAAATTTTCAATTTTTTTGTTTTTTTTTTTTCTAAATGTCAATAAAATTATTTATGTTATGTCAAAAAGCTTACATTTAATACAAAGTTCCTCAAATAATTATAAAAGAAGATAAAAATTATGAAAGATACGCTGATATGGTTTTTTTAGAATCATTTTAAGTTCAAACTTTTACAAAATTCATCAAAATCACCAAAATTGGAAAACAAAATTGTTATAAATTTATAAAATGTTCAATTTTTATAAGTCGTGATTACAATTTTAAAACCAGGTTTCTTATTAGTAGTTTATATTTTAACCAAAAATATTAAAAAAGTATATTTTAACACTATTTATTTTATTGTTATTTTAAATTTAAATTTAAATTGGGATGCGATTAGGTATTTAAACAACGAACAACTATTTTAGTTTTTTTATTGTAATCATTAGATTCATTACAGTGACTCCTCTATACTCTATTCCAAATAAGAGCACATCAAGTAGCAGATGAAAACTGGTCAAAAATGTACATGCAATATGCATACTCCACTCCAGAGTGTTTCTGCGACTTTGACGGTAACCAACCAATCTACCAATCCTAGCGGGGGAGGGGGGGGGGGTGAAAATTGGTTCTGCGGTACGTTTGTACACTTCCAGGCGCTCTCTTATATGGAATAGAGTATAGCACCTACCGTATATCCAAGCTGTATCCACTTGCCCATCTTCTTCTATATTATATTGCACAACACAAAAACTGTAATTTTAACTTTTAACTTTTTTGTCTGTATAATTGTAGATCTATTTTAGTTTTCATACGAGAAACTAATGGGAAAAACACTTCAATTTTATATATTTATTTATTTGTGTTTATTAATATACTTTTTAGATTCTGAAAAAAATTGCGCATCTACGTTAGAGATTCAACGATATCAATCTCATTTGGCTTTTTCATTAAAGTCTCTGTTTAACACTGCAGCTAATCTAGACGGTAATGCTAATTATTCTGTTGACATATATACCAAATATGAATGCATATTCAATTGTAGTAATTTTAATAGTTCTTAGCCTTACACTGTTAACAATAATCTATTTTATGGTTATAGATGGTAATGACTCAAAATTGGAGAGAATTATAGGAGTACAATCTTTTATTCGTTCCAAAGATAGTCTTGTTCATGAAGAACAACCAAGTAAGTGATATTCTAAAAAATGTGAACAAAATTAAATTTAAATCAGTGAGATTTAATCAATTTTACTTCTATTTTCTTTCTTCTTTTCATCTTTCAATATTATTTTTATGTATAAATGGCACCAAAAGAGTATGAAAATAATTTGCTAAAACCATGATTTATTTTTAATTACAATTATTAGGTTATGCACCCAATGATAAACCTACTATAGAAGAATATAATTTTTCTGAAATTGGAACGTCATCATCAGCTACTCCAACTACTCTGGAAAATAGTGAAAGGAAAGATAATGACTACGAAGACACTACTGCCAGTGAGATTCATATATTATCTATTCATTTTAATTTTAGTTAACAGGGTTAATTTGGGTCAATTTAGACATTTTTACAGTAAGAAATATAAAAATATTTAATTGTATGCTGTTGAAATAAAAAATAAACAGTATTTTGCAGGTATATGTTTTTGATTAAAATACATATTAGAATATTTTCCTATTTATATTGCAAATGTGTATGATTTTTAAAATTTGTTTTTCTTTGCATTGTAATATTACAATTAAAATATTTCAAATATTAGTTTGATTAATTTCTTTAAGTATAAATTTATAATTTTTTGTAGACCTTATTTTATTAATTTGATTTTTGTTAAGATTAATTACAAATTTATTGATACAATGATATACTTATATTTCAGATTTATTGCCAGATAAAAATTGTAATTTATCGTTATTCTCACCAACAACACTGTCAAACAATGATGAGAAAATCAATTTTTATGATGAAAAAGCTAGTACAGGTAAGGTATTTTTAGTAAAGTTAAATATGTGTAATGTGTATTGTTAAATTAACGATTTTCAAAGATATTGTTCGCTGGTTTTTGGTTTAAGGCTTAATAAATTGTTGTTAATTGGTAACCGAATGTGCTCATTCTAAACTGGCTCATAATCGGTAATCGGCCCATGGTTCTTAAAATTTGTATGTCCTGAATTAAACATACAATAAATTATACTACCATACACGTAATCAGACATTTGTCTATAAGGGGGCAACATTTTTTGGCCCCTTTATGTTTTTTGTACCCAATACCACTCTTCTCCTTATTAGACAATATCTATAAAAAATAACACCACATTTCACAGTGGTTATTGTCTGTATTGGTTAAGCATTATATTTTAACATTATATATATTAATATAGGTTACAATATACATCTTAAACAACTATTTAAGGAAAAGTCGTCTATTTTTATGGTTCGCTGCAAATCTTTCAGTAAATTCATCTAAATTTAATAATTTTACCTGTATTTGGAATTCCTACTTTTCAATCTATTAATAGACTTATTATTGTCTTATCTCAAATTATCAAGTGATAAATATTTATAAAATAGAATCTCGGAATTTAAGTTTTGTTATACAATTATTAGCTTTATGGAGTACCATATAATATTTATTCAGGATTTAGTCGGTTTGGCTATTTAAAAATAAAAATCAAGGTGGCCAGTCTTAGGTCACTGACTTTTCTTAGGAGGCCTTTACTTTTTAACCTAACCTTGACCTTGACTTCTTAGCCCCCCTCCTTGACGACGTGCCTTTATACTACTTATTTATCTATTTTTATTTTATTTATTGTTCGTTTTAGTTAAGTTAAAAGTTGATTTTTGATGGGATTGTATTAACGTGCCTGATACCTCATACCTACTTCCATTATTTAATTCATATAATTTGTTGACATTTGCACCAATATTGCATCCAAGCATAATAATAATTCAATTTTTTTTACAATTTGAACCTAATTGTATTTCAGATATAAGGTCTGATGAAGTTCATATAGTAAATGAGAGTTTTCCTTCCGAAACAAGTGGATCATCTATACCAATAACTGAAATCTTGGGGAAGAAAACAAGTATTTATCTTCAAAGTGACGTTACTGAAGGTAGCAATCTATAAAATATAAAATATTATTTAGATAAAATGTAATATAATATTAGTTTTTGATGTTTTTAAAAATGTTACTTGTAACAACTTACGTTTAATTTAAGCTTGAGTAATAATATTTATAAATGTTGGTAAAAAATAAAAAATGCCTCTATTTTAATTTACCTTTAATTTTTGTTTATAGATTTGACCTCCAATGATTGTTTGGAAACTGAGTTGAATAACATTTCTAATGAACAAGATGATGAGATAATAGAGGGTAAGAGTTATTGATATTAGCAATCAAAAGATATCTATGCTTGTGATTCCGAAGTACAGTTAGTTTTATCTATATTCTAAAACTACAGTGAAGGAACTAAATAATATGTTGTTATGACCAAATTTTTTTTTTTTAATGTAATTTTAATGAAACATGTTGGAACACATTAACCACACTTATTACCATATATGGCAATGACAGTACTAAAATATCATTACAGATATTTCTATGATGTAGAATGTGGATAGTGATATTATTTTAAAAGAAATAAAATTAGGTTATTAAACTGATCATTTTAGACTCATACATGGAATAATAATTGTACGATTGTTGTTTACATTATTTTGTACGTTTCTATATATATGTAGGCACAGATTTTTGTGTATTATCCAATATTGTTGTTATGTCCAATGTAAAAATAACCAGACACTTAGTACACTCAAATAATATGGGACTATCAGGACCTTGAATATTCATGTTGGTTCATTGGTTTTATTCATGAGTTGGTTTATAATTTAGTTGTGAACTGATTTTATTATCCTGAAAGAATTATACAATATACATAAATACATAATAATTCAATGTTTATAACAATATAAATAAATACAATTACGGGAAAGAATATTAAATTACAGGTTATATTATGACCAACAGTTTTATATAATATAATAGAGTATAATAAATAATAATTAATTGTTAGGATTTTACAATTGAATATATAACAATACCCTCATAACATAGACTGATAATAATGTATAACATTACAAATATTATACCATAGAGGACGCTATTATAATGTTGTACACCTCCCCCTCTGATGCAGCTTTATCATGAGAGTACAGAGAATGTTATGAACTATAGAATTAATTTGATACTTTTCCCCTTTTTGCACAACCCACTTCATAAAATGAAGATGAAATCATCCTTAGGATTGGATAAGATCCAATTCTTACCTTATACATTTTCATTCTATTTAGTTTATTTCCATTTTCAACATAAACTTCATCTCAAACTTTAAATTCATATACTTTCCTATTTTATCAATTCTGGTTTTGTTGGTTCTTAATGGAGTTTATTAGTGCTTTTTTTCTATTTTCTTCGATATTATTCTGGCTTAATGTGTCTACCAGACTGATATGCTTTCTAAAAAGTAAATATGCTTGTTCAAACTTTGTTGTTGAACTATGACTGTTTGATTGTATTTTGTCATATATTCTTTAGCTATGGATCTATTTTTTCCAAATTCACCAACTGTGTTTATACTACATAATCTCGTTAGGTTCACGAGTGGAACCGAGCTTTGACATTAAACCAACCAATTTTACTTCTTCTGGCTTATTTTCCATACATACAGATCAACTTCTACAAAATTTGTTAAAACACTAATATATCAAAGTTTTTAATGTAATAGTAAAGTTGAGAAACCCCAATGTGACCATAATCATCATGCATTAACTTGATTATTTTCTTACCAAAATCTACTGATACAAATATCCTATATCTATCCTTTAGTTTTTTAAAAATGATGTTCTGGTGTTTTTCACTTTTCTTAGCAGAATCCGATTCTTGTTTATTCTTTTCCTGGTCTGTAAGTGTATTTCTTAATTCAATTCAATTTACTACTTGAATCACATCTTCGTTTTCAAAATATTCTAAAACTGACTGTCTTGAAAGGAGATCAGCTAAAATATTTTCTTTGCCTTTCTTACATATTATTTAAAAATTAAATTGAAATAGATAATGAACCAGATCTCCCAGTGTTTCATCTGTTCTGGATTTTGCTATCAAATTCACTAATAGTTTGTGATCACTACAAACAACAAATTCACGATCAATTAGATAATATTGCCAATACTTTATTGTATCTTTAATTGTCTTACATCCTAAGTGAATTATATCTATTTTCATCTCCCTTTCAGATTCTTAATTGTGACTAAATTCTCTTGTGTTGGTGAAACTTTGTTTTCCTGCATGCAATGACCAAGGTACTTAGCAGCAAATTTACATTTAGCCAGCTTAAGTTTGAAACCATCTTCTTCCATTATTTTTAAAAATTTTTAGTGTCCCATAATCCTGTCATGACTGAAAAAATCAGAATATCATCAATATAGTTGCTGCAATATTTATCTAAGAAGGAATATTCTTATTATGTTAGAGAGGATATGCTGAACGATTGCCGGAGCATTTTTAAGCCCAAACAAAAGCAGTTTAAATATGAATTTTCCAAATTTTGTATTAAATTATACCTAACCTTCTCTCGGTCTTCTTATTTTAAGAGATTATCTTACAATTCAGAATTTATATCAATAACAGTTAAGTATTTGCAATTTGAGGCTATCTATAACATTGTTTATAGTTGGAAAAGGCTATCTATAACATCGTTTATAGTTGGAAAAGGATAACATTCTGGTATTATTAATTTATTCATTCTTCTAAAATCAATACAATATCTAGTCCAACGCCCTTCTTCCTTTCCATTTCTGAGAAAGGTGAGTCCAAGTTGAGTAGCTTCTAGCAACTCCTTTATTTGTGTTCTTATTTTTTGCTTGTCTGGAAAATACCATTTGTTAGGCACGAGATTTAACACATTTATCTCTTATTAATTTTATTTCAGCTTGTCTCAATTTCACTCTACCTACATTGCATTTATTTTTGCAAATATATGAATATATTTTTTTTATTAATTCTATGTTCATTCAAATTAGTCACCATTTTTTTTCTGATTTATCTTCTCTTTTTTTATTATTATTAGTTTTTTCTATATTTTCTAATTTGATTATTATATTTAAATGTTACTCTTAGTAATTATTTTAAATCTTGAATCAATTTGAATATTTTAATAGCATCCAAATCTAACAAAAGATCATAAGAAAACTGATTATTTTTTACTACATGTGTATTTAAATTGTTTGTAAGATTTCCAGTTTTTAAAATGAGATTTGACCTTATTGCACAGAAATTAAATCCATTGATTGTCTTGACAGCAAATTTGTTTTTTTTTTTAAACTTGATTTTAAGATATCTACAACACTTTGATTTACTAGACTAATATTTGACCAGCTGACATATACTGCTTTTATATTCATATTTTTATCAACATGTATATTAATTAATAATATGTTAATCAATGAATTTAATTTATTTGGGAATTTTAGTTTAAAGACATGTCATAGTGTCTGCTACTTGATCAGTAAAATTACCATCAACTGCTTCATTTGCATTAATTTTGATCTTAGAGGTATATATACTTTTATTTCTGCATTCTGTTGAAGGATGATTACGATTACGCCAACCAATTTCACACATATAACAAGGTTTTTTTAAATGTACCACATATTCTTTTTTTGTTCCTCTGGATTTATCTTTAATTTTTTCAGTCTTTAGATTTGAACTTGTAGTAAACTCAATTTCTTTTTTTTCATTCTAACTGAGTTTTCTAATCTCCCGTGCTTGGTAAACAGTTTTTCAATAGTCGTTATCATTTCTCAGTCTAATTTGTTTTTGTTTTTTTTTTGTTTTTGTCTATCAGTAATCCAACTACAATCATGTTTATCCTTGACGTTTCTGTTCCATTTCTTTCAGCTTCCAAACATAATATTTCTTTTGTTACAACACAGTCCACCAAAGAACCACCTAGATATTTGTGGCTATAAGCTTTTTTTTAGATTAAATCAGCCTTTATCTACAAGTACTGCGAGAAGAGATTTTTTCCATTCATTCCAATCCACTAGACCAATATTCTTAAAATTTGATTCATACCAATCTTTAGATGACCCATCCACAAAAAAACTGAAGTTCTTCAATCCTTTTTGTATCACTGTTTATTATATGTCTACTGCATTCAGCTTCAAATTGTCCTATCCCTTCTACTGCAATTTTTGACTAAATGTAGTCCTATCTCTTTATTTAAATATATAATATATTTATTCATCAATATTATTTAACGGAATGGTTTCATTTAACATTGAGTTCGATTTTTCTAATAGAAGTTCATCGTAGCAGAAGTTCTCTTCTTCATTAAAATATTCCTTCTTAATATTGTCATCTATCTTTATTTCTACTTAACAATAACCACTAATCGGTAATTGGGAGCACTTTTAACTGAGGACTTGGACAAAAATACCTTGAATTTTTAATATTTTTATACACCCTCAGTAATCACACCGTGATATTTTATCTTTTGAAAAACCAGCAGACTTAAAGTCATCTTTTCCGTTTTTAACAACGTGTACAAACAATTTTCCTTCTATCTCCTCACCTATTTTCTGTATGTATACATTGTAATTGAATTTGGGAGTCGGTTTATAATTTATTAAGTTATGAGCAGCTTTAAGAATCATACAATATACGTAAATACATAATAATATAATGCTTAAAACAATATAAATAAATATAATTACCCGAAAAAAAAAAATTAAATTACAGGTTATATTATGGCTGACAGTTTTTTATAATATAATAGAGTATAATAAATAATAGTTAATAATTAACATTTAACAATTGAATATAAAACAAATAATAAAGTACAAGTGACAACTCTTAATTTAGACTGATATTTAACAATAAAAACATTTTTACATAGAGGGCGCTATGTTAATGTCTTACATATTTAATCCGTTAAAACATTTTCCAACTCTTCATGCTTCCTGTGTTTTACTTTTTGTCGTTTACACCCTCCTAACATGCCGCTTTGTTCTATTTCCCGTACATTTTTCAACAAAGTTCTTTAAGTGAAAGTATATTAGAAATATCCTTTTGTTTTTATTTCTCGGTGGACACTTCCTCGTATTTCTTCAAAATGTTGAGTCGGTCCGAAAAATCGGTTGTGCATTAGTTTTACACTAAACGGGTAAAATTTCAATTTTTTTCACAAAACAACTAAAATTTATCATAATCTGCTGAACAAAAGATTGTTTTATCAGATTAGAGAGAAAAAACCTAAACTCATCAGATGGTTATTAAATTGACTAGTATAGGAAATGTCTAGGTTACGTCTAGTTAGGACCGACGGAAAACAGTGTTTTATGCGGTTTAAATGGGAGCGTCTTAAGCGAGTTCTATTGTATTTACAAAGGGAATAAGTTGCCATAATTACATGGATTTTTTCTTACAATTATTAAACATAACAATATTGTGTTGAAATATTTTGTTACAGTTTTTACATCTAGTGATAGTTGTCATATAAGCAAACATCATGACCTTGATACCGGAAATTCCTCAAGTTCATCTCTGTCAACTAATGTGATAATCAAAAAAAAAAAAATTAAAAAACACAAAAAAATAAATACTGATGGTAGAGTATATAAATATTTATATTTATTGTTCTTTCATCTAAAATATTAATTTAAAATATTTTAATTAGAAGATCAAGTTTGGAGAGTAAAAGCATCAAAATCAAAAATTAAGTCAAAGAAAAAAAATATTTATGAAAAATACAAATCAGGCAAGAGTAAAGAATATTTATTGATTGTGACTTTAATACTGATTTTATAATAATTTATGTGTTGGAGATTATTACTTAAAAAATTCAAAACTCTTTGAAAATCATAGATTCTGATAAATAAAATGGAATAAAATAAATGAGCTTTAATTTTTCGAATTTGAATATTAATTTATCTGATACTATTTTAAACCATTTTAATTAATTTTTTATTTTTCGTATAATTTATAATTTTACGGTCATGATTTTTGTTCTAGAACTTATAACTAAAGATAGTTTTAGTTTAGACCAAAGTAATGATACTGAAACTTCTAGTTCTTCATGTTTAACAATTTCAACTTATATATCAATTTAAAAAAAGAAAATTAAAGACCATAAAAAAATTAATACTGATGGAAGTAAATAATTATTATTTCATATAAATAAATAATGTTCTGTAGGAGAAGATAATGTTCGGAAAGCAAAATCATTAGCATCAAGGAATGAGTCAAAACATAATATTTATGAAAAATACAAACCAACTAAGGGTGAATATTATTATTTATTGGTAGTGACAATAATACTGGTTTTTATACTGTTTTTTATTTATAGGTCTATCATTAAGTTACAGGAAAAAATCAGACATGTATAAAAAACTTCTAAAAAGCAAGTCAAAAGACCTGTGTATAGATTCCGATGATAGTGATACGGTTGCTACCATCAATGTGCAAGGTGTCTCATATTCTTTAATTTTACTATTATATAAAATTAAATAAATGTCATTTAATTTTTTGAATTTTCATTTCACTTTTAATATTTAAGTTAACTTTTCAATGAATTTTAAAGTAATGTTTTCATTTGAGTAATCATTTATTTAATTTTTATTAAATATTAATTTTATTTAACAATCATTGATTTTAATTTAAAATGGTCATATATTTTGTTTTAGATCTTACTTCTAGTAATAATTTTTCTTTGAACCAAATTGATGATTATGAAACTGGCTGTTCTTCCAGTTCATCAACATACGTGCCTAACAAAAAATATAAATTTAAAGATCGTAAAAGTGAAAATACAGGTATTACCATCTATGTAATTTTAACTATTATATTTAGCCTCATAAATTTATATGTATATATATATATATATATTTAATTTTAAAGACCATAATCAAAGAGTAAAAGAATGTTCATCAACACCAATAAGCTACTTAAACAAACAAAATATTTATAACAAGAGCAAAGTAATTAAGGGTAATAATTTTGTTTGTTCTTGTCCATAGTAATATAAAGTTTTATATTGAATTAAAATATTAAAATGTATTTCATTAGAAGTTGATAACTTAAAAAAATCACAAGTACATGAAAAATATACTAAAAGCAAGTCCAAGAAAGTGAAAATGAATGCCGAAAAACATCATTTTTTCGACACAGACTTTAATCAAGGTAAGTAATCTTTCTTGGTTTTGTTTTTGTTTTTTTTTTTGGTTTTTAAACTAAAAACCTTCATTTTATGAAATTTAAATTGTTTAATATTGAATTGTAAAACTGTCAGATATTATTACTTTAAACTTGATTTTTAATATTCAGTTACAAGTGCTATTTATTTAATTTTGTTAAATATTTTTATTTCAGATATTGCAACTAATGATAGATTTATTTTAAATGAAAATAATCAACCTGAAGCTTGTAGTATTTCAAGGTCATCAACATCAACATCAACAAATGTGGCAAATAAAAAAAAGAAAATTAAAGAAAATAAAAGTGAAATTACTGATAGTAATGTTAATTTATTGATTCTTATGTTATATTAACTAATTAATGATGATATTAGGAGAAGATAATCTTTGGAGATCAAAAGCATCAACATCAACAACAAAGTCAAATGATAAGATTATACTTGATGGATACGATAAATCGTCTGAATGTAATGATTATTTATTGATGATAATGATTATATTGTTGTTAATATTAATTTATGATATAAATTATAGATTCACCGATAAATTATTTAAAAGAAATAAAAGCTCAAGAGAAACTTCTAAAAAGTATGTTTAAAATAAATAATAAAGATCATGTTGAAACAGACTGTCAACAAGGTGAGTAAAATTTTGGTTAACTTTATAGGTTTGGGTTTAATTTTTATATTGAAATAGTTTATATTTCCTGGATATCATTATTAAGTTTCTTTGACATTATATTTTAAGTGTTACATTAAAATTAGTAAAATTAGCTATAAGAGTTTCTCTTAAATTTCAGATGATGGAGTTGATTGTAGTTCCTCAAGTTCATCTACGTCAAGAAATGTGACTTACAGCAAATTAACTGAGGGTAAGGATCTTTTATTGATGGTAATGATGTTGCTTTGTATTACAAATAAATTATATGATTTATAGATGTACCAATGAATGATTCAAAAAAATCAAAAACATATAAAAAATGTCTCAAACGCAAGTCTAGAGATGCATTTATAACCAATAATAAAGATACCATTGTAGCTAACTATCAACAAAGTGAGTAACATTTTTACCTTCTCAATTTCATACAATCAAATTAAGAAAAAAAAAATGTATAATAAAAAATAGTAATTAGAATTTTATTTTTGTGATCTTTTAATTTTAATTTTGATTTTATGTTAATTTTACTTTTGGGATAACTTTTTGAAGTTGTGTTCAGTTTAGTAATTAGGTATATTTCTTATTTTAAAATTTAATTGAAATGTTACAACTTTTATTTATATATTTTTAGAGGTAATTACTAATGAAAGTTATCAACCTGAAGGTTGCAGTTCATCAATCTTAACAAATGTCAGAACTAAAGAAAAGAAAACTAAAATTTGTAAAAATAATGTTTCTGATGGTAATGCTGATTTTTGATGATGATGATGACTATATCATACATACCAATAAATTGTTTTTTTTTTTTAAGAATATCATTTTTTGAGAGGAAAATCATCAACAACCGGGTCAAACGAAAAGATGAATTATGACAGAGAAAGAAAATTAACCAAGGGTAAGGATTATTTAAATTTTGTTATTATGTTCAGGAAAATACTGATGAGGTGTCGGCAAAATTGTTCAAAATTTAAAATGTTGGTCTGGAATTTCAAAGACCGTATCGGCCCCCCTCTCCTGACCATTATATATTTTTAAGGCCTTTCAAACTATGATGTTGTTTTTATACTAATTTATTATAATATAACATTGTATAGGTCTTGGAGTTAATTATTTAAAACAAATAAATTTGTATGAAAAACTACTAAAGAGCAAGTCTAAAGACAATTGTAAAGATGCAGTTTTAAATGATGCAACAGATAATTTTGAAAGTGACTGTCAACGTGAAGGTGAATAATTTTTATTTTTATCAATATGGTAAAATTAAATACAAAACTGTAATTGTTTGTTTTTATTTCTGTGTTTTTTTTTTCTAATCTCGCTTTAAAAGTAATTGAAATAATTCAAAACCAGAGTAAATATAATATAATAAAACTAATTGGTAAAATAATATAATTGATACAACTTTGATTATCAATTCCAAAAATAATCTGAATCAAAAAAATTAATTAATCCAAAATTTCAAAATGGTTATTAATTCAAAATCCAAATTTAGTTATCAATTTCAAAAACTAGTATCAAAAACTGTTTGGAATCGGTAATCATTACTTCCAGAACAGTTTATAATCTAGAACAGATGGTTATAATTGGGAATCGATACTATCTAAGTATTGATAATAGTTGATATGACTGATTGAAATACAAATAAATATAATTTACAAAATACTGACTCTGACTATAGATACAAATTCTTCCAATTTCAATGTAGAATCATAATTACAGAAAATACAATAATTGTAATCCACATATCCTTTATTTTAAAATTAATTCAGTTTCCATCAATTTTATGTTTTTACGATTTTATAATTTCAGATGAAACATCTAATGAAAGTTTTATTATGAATCAAAGTCATCAACTTGAAGCGTGTAGTTCTTCAAGTTCATCAATGACAACAAATGTCATGAATAAAAAAAAGAAAGCTAATCATTGTGAAAGTCGAATTTCTGATGGTATTGTTGTTTTATTCATAATTTTTATTAGATATAAACTAATTATTATTTTTAGATCATTGGAAATCAAAAGCATCAACATCAACAATAGTGGCTAATGATAAGATAATACTTAATGAAGACAACAAATCAACTGAGTGTAATGATTATTTATTGATGGTGATGATTGTAAAGAGCGGATTATTAGGTCCTTAAAAGTTTAAAGTATGATTCTAATGTGCTCTAAAAAACCTTAAAATATTCTCTTAATAACCTTCAAACTGGTAAAATATGCTTTTTTACTTTAAATAATTTTAAAATCTGTATTCCAAGTTACAATAGAATCAATATTATGTAAAATATGTAGTTATAGTTAACATTATACACTTATAAATTTATAATATTTAAATTTACTATCCATGTATTGCATACATGTAATAATATGTCTTAGCTTGAAAATAATTATTGCATACATTTTCTTTGGTAAATCATTTCAATTTAGTCACATTTAAGCAATCACACAAATTAAAAACTTTTCAGTTCAATCACAAACAAAATATCGAGCAATTTCTATCATTTTTCATTTTTTTAATTAAATACATTAAGCTTTTCGTGTGACAAAATATTTCGATTCAGAAATGAACAATTGTGACTTTTTTATGAATCAAAAATACAATATATTCTAAATTATGAAATATAGGTTTCTTATTTTTTAATCTTATTATGATATCCAAAATACATTTCTTTTATGAATTCTGTACTGAATAGTTGAATATTTACCCCTGTTGCCATTACGCCTAAAAATGTATGCGAAAACCTAAAAATCCGTTCTTTAGTGATGATAATATTGTTATTATTACTAAATTATGATATAATTTCTAGGTCTACCAGTTAATTATTTAAAAAAATTAAAAGTTCATGAAAAACTTCTAAAAACCAAGTCTAAGGATTCATTAAAAATTAACTATAAAGATCATTTTGAAGCTGACTATCAACAAGGCGAGTAACATGTTTTCAATAATGTTATAGTTAGCAACATGTTAACATCTTGTCAAGATTATGTTTTTGTAGTTTGTAATCTATCAACAAACATGGTCAATTTAACTGTTTCAGATGTAATATCTAATGAAAGTTATCAACCTGAAGCCTGCAGTTCGTCAATGTCAACAAAAAAAAAAACTAAGGAACATAAAAATGATATTTCTGATGGTAATATTGATTTATTGATGACTTAAACATACATACTGATCAATAATGTTTTTTTAAAAAGGAGAAGATAATTTTTGCAGCAGAAAAGCATCAACCTCGACATCAACAACTCAGTCAAATAATATGGTTATGTTTGTCAGAAGAAGCGAAGCAAATGAGCGTAAGAATTAATTATTAATGGCGATTTTACTGTTATATTTCTAATTTATTATATTACCTATAGGAGTTGATCACAAACATAATTCAATAGTGTTTAAAAAGTATGCAAAGAAAAAGTCAAATGATGTAGATTTAAATAGTGACAGCGAAATTAATGTAGTTGGTGACTCTCTACTAGGTGATTTACATTTGAAATAATTGTATTTAATTAATAACCATATTTTATTATATTCAATACTTGGTATTATTTAATATAGTTCTGAATTGGTTGTGAATTTTACTTTATATGATTCAATTTTAAATTTGTGCAGTTTACTGACTTTATTTATGTTATAATTAAATGTATTGTTCATTTAGAATTATTATTATTATGTAATTTTGGAATTTAATAAAATTAAATTAAAGACTTCAATATTGTTAAGTTTTTATCTTATCTGTTATTATTTTATTTCGTTTTGAATCGGTAAAGGGTTTTTTTATTTCTTTGATGCCACTTAAATATAGAGTGCAGTTTGATGAAAATTGTGTTTTCAAACATCATTAATCACAATGTTTCTCATGCATTTCTCATATCATACACTTAAATATTAACTTAAATATATTTACGAATATGTATATAAAATTAATAATAAGTTATTATTGTTTTAAAAGATTATTTTTTGTTTCAGATTTAACTTCCAATAGTCTTACTTTGAATAATAGTAATCTTTCTGATACTGCTACTTCAACAATAGAAACAACTGTATTAATTAGTAAGAAGAATATTAATAACCATAAAAATAATGTTGCTGATGGTAGGGTTAAATTTATTTATTCTAAAATTATTGCACCTTTATTCATCTTTAATGATTTTAGGAGTTAATTGTGTCAAAGAAGTAAGAGAGCTTAAAAATGATAATAAAAAGAAATCGCATGTTGTAGATATTATCCCTGACAAAGATGATAAAGTGATTAGTAACTATCAACCAAGTGAGTTCCAATTTTAATTATTTTTATACATACTTTCTTAAATTTAAATCAGATAACTTCAATATACATACATGCACACATATATATAGACATGAATATACAGTATATAATACATCAATTGTGATTATCGTTAATTATTTGATAGTGTAGTTTATGATATGGCAAAAGAGTATGATATTGATCTATATTTAACTATACCCTTAGTATTATGTCTTATTATTTTTATATTTTTAGGTTATGTTGTTTTACATTTTTGTATCTTGATTTTTGTAATTTAAATTTGTTGATGTTTTATTTATAAAATAGTTTTTAATGTAATTTTGTTATTTAGTACAATCAAACATACATTTATTATCATTTAATGCTCTGAGTAGGTGCTTCCTAGAAAAATGTAAGACACTAATGTTTTATTAATTAAAGATTATTATGATAATATATGATCTGTCTTTAATGTTATTTCCTACCAATACAACCCTGTTAAATTACTTTAAAAATATCAAGTAATTCTACAATATTTGTTGCTAAAACTAATAATTATCCAGTTAGTACAAATGCTGACACTGCAATTTACTAAATTTGTATAGTGGGCGCTCATTATATGTTAATAAAAATTAATATTTTTAAAATTGTTCTTTTTTATGTTTCAGTTCCGAAATCTATTAATGGAAATTGGTCATGTGGAAGTGCAAGTTCATCAAATTCAATACCTTTGTCAAATCATCAAATAGAATCTGATGATGAACATAATACAGATGGTTGTTTTATATAATAATATTTTTTTTATATTTATTAATGAAAACTATGTTTTATTTGTTTACAGATGATGATCAATACGTTAAAAATAGAAAAATTTCCAAAAATAATCATCAACCTTTTGATGATGTAGACCGTAGTATTTTTGAAGCTTTTGGATATGAAAAACTTTGTAAGTGTGCTATTAATTAGTGTAATCAGAAAAAAAAATGTTTATTATTATAAAATTATTTAACTGCCAAAACTAGCGTCTAGTCATCACCGTGACACTGGACTTAATAGTAATTATAATTATCCTAAGTTCATAATTTCTGCAGTTCCAAACCGGCTTGATATATTTAGAAACTCTTCTTAAGTAAGGACTTAATGCATTTAATTCTCCCCAAACCAAGCATTATGCTTATAAGGAAATTGCAAATTTATTGTATCTTGTATATTTGTATTTATCAGTATGTAATTGTGTATTATTTTATTTAATACATAATTATTATTAATGTTATATTACCTTGAACATAACAAAGAAGAGTAATATTGGTCAATACCTTCCATGGCATGGGTTTTATTTCCACAATTTTGTAACTAATCCAACTTTAAAAAAAATATTGTAGTACATACTAATTACTAGCAAGCCATTGCTGGACCATAGGACCTAGATTTATTTATTTTAAAAACCACTACTATACAACTGATAACTCAAAAAAAATGCAATACTATAAAATACAAAATATAATAAATTAACAGTGTATTATATTTACAGTTAGCTGAGGTTACCCGGTCTGTGCTTGGGCCGTTAGTGGTCAGTTGATTAGCTATGAAATTGTATAGTTATATTTATTGACCTGCAATTATTAGACCAATATATTATATTATTTGTCTGGGTCATGACTACAACAACTTTAAGTATTACCTATTGTTATGTTTTGTTTAACATCAAGTATGTATTTTTATTTGATGAGTTCACACTCAAATTTTTTTATGGTACTGAGATCACTTTGAAATTTTTCTACTTCAGATTTCTCAATTGATAATATCTCGAATTCATGATCTAAATCAGAGGTTCCCAAACTACTTTTCCTCGTACACCAAGTGCTAATTTTCTCCATTTTCGTAGACCCCCTAAAATTGAATTTTTACAAATTCATCTAGGTGTTTTTATAGCTTATATGGAATTGTTTACTTGACACATAGGTAGGGGTTTTGTCCGGAAATGATGGAATGAAGCCGAACTTCAAATAATCAATGCAATATTGCCTACAATTTTTTTTAGATTCATCCATAATTAATAGCAGTTATATTTATACTAAAATTAACCGATTTATGAATTAGTAAAACTTTGAAAAGTCACAAACAACGTATAATCGGTAATCGACTGTCACGGATGAACTAAATTTTTAAACTTACAGTAATGTATATTCCAACATCGGCGTTGACCGATATCGTGTTTATCGTATCATTCTTATCATACTTATTGGTTATTAGCGAGACTTAAAAATATACGATTGAATATGTAATGTGTAATTTAATAATTTTTTTTAGTAACTTTTAATTCAACTTATCTTAACATTCCGATATTCACCTTTGACTCCGTTAGTCGTTATTGACAATGCTCGTTATAATAATCTTTATCGTTCGCATTATCGCACACATATTTTTCATAATTGTTAAAATTATTCGTTAAAAATTTTAAGTCTCGTGGACCCCTATACACATGATACACCCCCAATTAGCTTTTTCTTTGACATGGACTCCTTGTAGGTCAGAATTGACCCCAGGGGGTCGATATAGATCACGTTGAAAACCTTTGATCTAAATGGTTGAAATTTACCCTTCGGATTATCTCATTGGTTACAGAGTAAATATTTTGGATCCAAAAATATCGAATTGCATATACTAATTTGATTAATAAAATATTTTTCGTTCTAAACATACTTAAAACATGCGGTAAAATGTATCAACCATGGATCCGAATGCTACAATCTAAACCACGACTTTCATATTTATTTATAGAGATTTATATCGTTCATGTTTTTTGAATTTTAATCCGTTAGAGCATCCCATTAGTTTTTTTTTTTTATAAAACATTGAGTCATATTTATTTATATACATTATTATCATTACTATGTATATGTAATATTAATTCGTTAGAGAGGACCACTAGTAACAACCTTATATCTTTACGTTCTGTAGCCTGGAGGTATATTTTGTGATTTACATATGTATACTGACCTTCCCATGATCTGGCTGAATATCTTTGTTGAATTTCAATCGATTTGGATTAGTAATTTTAAAGATTACATGTGCAAAAAAAAGCGACATTCATTTTTATTTATATAAATAGATATGTGTATAATATATACATATATAAATAGATAAATCTATTCTCCATTATAGAAGTGATTACAATTTGTATTACTGATACAGATTTAGTTTTTAAAATAACGTTGAAAGAAATACTAAGCTTTTTAAGCGAATTAAATGAAATAAGTTTTTTTACCTGCAAGGCTGGGCAATCAAATAGAATATAAAGGAGGTCATATATATGTCGTAGGCATATAGTCAAATCAGGCATTGTATTAAATGCCTAGGCATATAGTCAAAGAATTTAATGTTTATGCAATTTTACTATCCGCCTAGACATTTAATTAAATTACTAGGCATTTGATTAAATGTTCATTTCATGTCAGGCAAATAATAAAAAAAAACATTTTGTATTATTTAAAAAATTTAAATATATTTTCTATCAGTTATTTATTGCTATTTTATGTATAAAAAAAGCTATGTATTATTTATAATAATATGAAAAACACGTTGGTATATGAAATAATATGTTTAATTTCGTGTGCATTATTACTATTGTTTTAAAAATGAAATCATAAATATATACAGGTAATAAGTAATTAGATGTGATAGACGTAGATAATAGTACGAGTGTATTGTATACCCTATAGGCTATAGTCAGCATAGTCTATAGTACGAGTAGTGAGTACTATAAATTCTTATTAAATAAAAATAAAAGTTCCATTGGTTTTTACCTTGGTTGTATGAGAACCTTATCTATATTGAGTACCGTAAAATAGTGAAAAAATAATTTAAAGAACTAAAGGTTGGTGATCAAATAGTATTAAGTGTTCCAAAAGTAGACCGAGGACCTTTCGATAGTCAAAATATTAATGGGTTAGTGATTGACATTCGGAACGGCGTTTATCAAATTGGTACAGAAGTGAGTATAATAAAAAATTGGTGTTTAAGAAAAGAACTTATACTAATGTCAAATAATGGCTTAGAAGACAGCAAAATAAAAAAAATAAATGTATATGTCCATACGTGAAGCAGTAGCAAACTTATCAATTTACAACGGTCAAGGTTTTGTTAAATGTCAGTCAATCAGGAAAGCGGCAATGTCAAACCAATTGGTGCTTATGTTTTAAGAAAAATCTCAAATATTCCAGCAAATGCCACCAAATAACAACATGTAACAACAAGTAATAGGTAACAAAACCTTGTAATTATAATATAACTTAAAATTTTTTTTTTATGATTTCATTTTTAAAACAATAGTAATAATGCACACGAAATTAAACATATTATTTCATATACCAATGTGTTTTTCATATTAATAAATAATACATAGCTTTTTTATACATAAAATAGCAATAAATAACTGATAGAAAATATATTTAAATTTTTAAAATAATACAAAATGTTGTTTTTATTATTTGCCTGACATGAAATAGACATTTAATCAAATGCCTTGTCATTTAATTAAATGACTAGGCATTTAACTAAATGTCTTGGCGGATAGTAAAGTTGCATAAACATTAAATTCTTTGACTATATGCCTAGGCATTTAATAAAATGCCTGATTTGACTATATGCCTACGACATATATATTCATTGGAATGATGCGTACAAAAAGGAGATACATTTAAGCCAAGTTTGAGAGAGTGAATTTGTAATAAAGTATGCCCTATACGTAAACAATGAAATTGTACAATATATGGTCTATGTAAGTTTAAGTTATTAAATCAAGTTTTTTTAACAATGTATCCATATGTCAAGCAAAGTCTGCAGATATGTTATTCCAAGAAGACCAAAGATTAGAGATGTAATTTCTTAACAAAGGGATACAATCTGATTGGGGTAGATGAGTAAGAGAAGGGCAAATTAGATTAGATGTAAATTTAGCAAGATTGTTGACAACCTCGTTACCATGTATTCCAATATGAATCTAATGAAGTGAATTATAGAGTTTAATTGATTGAGAGTGAAAATAAGAGACTAAATGCAGGATTTAGATTTTACAGATATTTTGTATACTTAACACAACTTAAGATCCCACCATCTTTATATCTTAGTATTTATAAGGTCTCGAGGACCGAAGTGTTTAAGAATGGAGCAAAGGTTATAAGGAGATTCACTAAAGTATTTACAAGTGGTAAGGCAGATATATTTTCGAAATATCAGTTGTATTCTACTATTAGGAATAAACAATACCAATGTGTACGATATTATTATATTAAAGAACGTATATTAGTTTATTATGAAACCGTAACGTCGACTGTCGTGTGCGTGCCGACCGGTGTCGTACGCGGTGGACAGTCCCCACCGCGTACCTATATTATTATCAAATATGTTAATAAGGAAGATAATTATTATGTTGACAATAGTACTGTATCGATGTACGATATACAACACCTCTCCCCTAACATTAAATAATTTGATTCGCTTTTGAGTTTATATAACCGTGCTTATTCTACTTACTGACTAAAACTTATATCTAATTTTACATTTTTTTTTTGTGTATAACACCTATATAATACTCTGTGTCGTGTATATCATATTTTACATGCTAATTTCTCTATACTATAAAAAAATATATGCATGTATATAAACGTGTAGTATCGGTCTTATTTCCTAAAATCTACTGTTGTATAGCGGTCGGGCGATCTTTTCATTCTAGTCGGGCGAGAACGTCCGGTAGAGGTTGTCTCGGGTTCCCTGTCTGGCCCGTCCGTATCCTCCCCGGTCTCCTCTGGAACTTGTCCCCCCCTTGGGTCGGATGGGTTTTGGTTACATTCGACTTCCAACACTCCTGAGTCATCCCTATTTGGTATTTTAATGGTCTGGTGTATGTGTCGCTTCCAAGTGCCCGCCTCAATATCCACCTCAAACGCTTGTTTTCCCACATTTTTCGTAACAGTCCCTATCGACCACTTATTTTCATTCGTCCGATAATCCCGCACGGCCACTGTGTCTCCCTGTTGGATTTCATGCTGTCGTTTACCGTGACGTTTGATTTGGGAATCCTGGTGATCATTAACCACGTCCTTTGTGCTGGGAATCAGAATATCGAACTGTGTTCGAGTGCTACGTCCTAGTAATAATTTTGCCGGTGTCTGGCGCGTTGCCGAGTGCGGTGTATTGCGGTAAAATAACAGGAATTTCTGTAATAGCGTCGGGCTGGTGGTTTGGTTTTTCTTAAAGAAATTGTTCACTATTTTAACCCCTGATTCGGCTGCCCCGTTTGTTTCCGGATGGAACGGAGCTCCCACCAAGTGTTATATGCTCCCGTTTACGCAGAACGTGCTAAATTCCGTACCTGTAAAACACTTGGCTCCTTCGGTGGTAATGGACTTGGGGACCCCGAAACGAGCGAAAAGTTCTTGCATTTTTACGATTACCACTGACGCCGTACTAGTGCTTACCTCAAACACTTCAAGCCATTTTGAAGTCGCGTCGACTACTATTAAAAAAATTTTATTTTTGTAAGGCCCTTAAAAGTCTACGTGTATGCGCGTCCACACTTGTTCCGGCCACTTCCATGGCGTTACCACTACTTTTAATGGTGCGGGTCTAATTTGTATACAATCTTCGCATTTGCGCGCCGTGTTTTCAATATCGTTGTCGATCCCTGGCCACCAAAAATACGAGCGCGCGATCGCCTTCATGCAGCTCATTCTCGCTTGCGTGGAGTGCAATTCTGTCAACAGGGCCTCCCTGAACTTACTTGGCATAATCACCACATCAAACAGTCCTGTTCGGTTGAAATTTCGTGACGTCGCGTGTAATACGATTTAAGCGATTCGTTTTTATCCGCGCCTGTTGGCCATTCACCTGTGTTATTATTATATTTACCTGTGATAAGATTTTGTCGATTCGTGTTTGTGTTTTTATTTTGACCCGATTAACGTTAAACGGACAGTTGTCGTATATAAAGTTTAGACACTGTGGCGCCGTAGACACTCTGTCTGCTGTGCCTATTCTTATGCGCGATAAGAAATCCGCTGCGTTTTTCCCTGATTTAACGAACGAAATGTCAAAGTCGAATGCTGTGAGTACGTACGCCCACCTCTGTAGTCTATTAGCCGCATAAATTGGTATACCTTTCTTTTCCCCGAAAATGTGGTAGAGTGGTTTATGGTCGGTAATTAAAGTAAATTTTCGTGCGTACAAGTAATTTTACATAAGAATTTTTGAACACCGTATATTATCACTAATCCCTCTTTTTCGATTTGCGGGTATTTGCGTTCTGCTTCAGATAAGACACGCGATGCATAGGCTACTGGTTTTTCGGCGTTGCCGTATACCTGTGATATGACTGGGCCGATAGCGAAAGATGACGCGTCTACCATTAGTTTAATCGGTACCGACGGATCATAGTGGTCGAGTACAGGCTTGGACGATAATATCGATTTAATGCTATTAAACGCCTCGTCCGCTTCTTTGGACCATGACTATTTTGCCCCCATTTTTAAAAGGCCATACAACGGTTTTAGTATTCGTGTCGCATTTTCCACGAACTTAATGTAATATGTTACCAACCCTAGAAAACTTTTTAGTTCCGACCTGTCTTGGGGTGCAGCAGCCTCTTTAATCGCGATTGTGTGTTTGTCTAATGTATGCAAGCCCTGTCCGTCTATTTTATGACCTAAATATTCGACTTCCGTCTGCATAAAGGTACACTTACGTTTTCTTACCCTCAGCCCTGCTGAACCGAGTGCTTTTAGAAGTTGTTCCAAACGTATGTTATGTTCGGACATTGTCCTACCTGATACTATTATATCGTCAATGAATACCTCGACCCCCTCAACCTTTTTTGTGATACTTTCGATCACTTTCTGAAATTCGCTCGCCGATGATTTCAGTCCAAATGGGACGCGCGTGTACCTGAATAAACCTTTTATTGTGTTTATTGTCGTTAACGCGCGTGAACTATCGTCGAGTACCAACTGCTGATAGTCATCTTTCAGGTCTATTTTTGAAAAATATTTCGCTTCCGCTATTCTGGCGTAAAGGTGTTCGATTTTTGGCAGGGGGTATTTGTACTGACCAATACGGAGTTTACGGTTATTTTAAAATCTCCGCATAGCCTGACGCTACCGTCCTCTTTCAAAATTGGAACTTCGGGAGTTGCCCACTCGCTGTGGTCGACCGGTATCAAAGCGTTGATGGCCAGCAACCGTTCTATTTCAGCCTCGACTTTTATTCTTCACTGGTCGGTGTTTAAAAAATTTTGGCGTGGTCCCCGGCTTTGTTGTAAGGGATATTTTGTACCCCTTGAATGTCCCTAGCTCTTCGCTAAATACGTTTGTATACTTCTTTAAAATTGTTTTAACGCTATCCTCTGCGCCGGTAAATATACATTCAAACACGTTTTTAATACCGAGCGTTGATATATAGTTCCTACCGAGTATTGGTGGTCCTCCGTTTGGCACTATATATACCCATATTCTGAATGCTTTATTATTGTACATGGCCGTGAGCGCTACTTAGCCTATCGGTGTAATTCTATTACCAACGTAATCCGATAACTCCACATCGTTAGTTACGATTACCTTTGGACCTATAAGCGCTTTAAACGTCGACTCGGAAATAGTACTATGCACCGAACCGGTATCGATTTCGAATGATATAGGTTTACCTCCAATCACTAATTTTACGCGGTACGGAGCTACTTTAAGCTTATCTCGGGAAATATCGTAAATTGTAAAAAAAGAATCAATTAATTCTACGCTAGATTCGTGATCGCCTGACCGCTCATTTTCTGTCAAAAACTTATTTTGTGACTTGTGCTTATTACCTTTATTTTTGCACATGAGTGCCAAATGACCCGCTACCCTGCATGTATTACATGAATAATTTTTGAACCTGCACAGTCCGGTGTCGCGGTTGAAACGGCCGCATACCTGGCACTTCTCCTTCCCGTTGGTTAGGTTACAGAGTAAGCTCATAAGATTAAATATACTAGCATATAAGTTATGTTAGAAGTTGCTTTTTATTAAAATTGCCCATATTTTTTTGAATATTTTCAATTTTCCAAAGCACAATAGGTAAATTCATTAAAGTTTAAATTATACACAAAAACTAAAATATATACCAATAATATATATTATATTATTATATATATATGAATAATTTATTTGTCAGAGAATATACTAGTACTTATTTGTTTAGATTCAAGAGCTGCAAAAGTAAAAGCTAATGAAGCAATATCACTGATGAGTAAACCACTTATCAACAAAGATAAGAAAAATGATGCTACCAAACGGTCAAAGAATGGCAAGAAGAACAATGAAGTGAGTTTATATTGAAATAGCTTATACCACTGGTTTTTGACCTTATTGAGTGCAACATTTTTGGGCTTTTCCAATTTTTGAGTACAGTTTAAACTGCTCACATATGAATGATGATTATAATAAATTTTACAAATGTAAGTAAGTACATTATTTAATGTACTTAACAATAATGATTGACACTTCTGATAGCCATGAAATACAGCTTGAAAACCTTTAGTTAGTATTAATAATTTGTTGTAATTCAAAATTATTTTTCCTTGGGATTTGAAACATTTATGTTTATTATTACATTTTATATACACAATGTCACAGTGATAATTTAGAAAAAAAAATTGATTAGTTTGATGCTATTGCTTATATCACAAACTTATTCACACCATTCTACTGGTAGTTGGCAATTAAAATAATAATAATAATAATAACAGTAACAGTAACAACAATAACAATAAAATAATGTAATAATAATAATAAACACAATGTTTTCTGTAAAAATGTATTCAACTAACGGAATTTTCTAATAATGAAATAAATTACTATACTAGCAATTTAAATATATCATACTTAGTAATATTAAAGGATGGACGCCAGAATCATTTTTCGTATGGAATGGTTTATCATTGAATTCAAATTTAACACTTACATCATAAAGACAATGTCAAGGTTTTCTCGACAGCTTCTGCACAGCAGAGCGTAACATATTGTACACGTAATAGAATCTTTTTCTGCAGTTTCAATATAGATGCTATGTTTAATCAGAATTGATAGGTTCTAAAATTAGTTTTTGATAAAATTGTGATATTTTTTATGTTTATTATGAGATCAAGAATATTATTTGTTTTCTAGTGTGTGCATACTTACCCAATAGGTAATAATACCCATTTTTATTAATAAGTAGCTGTAGATTAATTTTTTTACAAATCACATGACAAAGTACTATGGATATATTGGGAAGAAGAGGGAGTTATCTAAAATTTAAATTGATATATCAAATTTTTTTCAACCTTAGTAGGACATAATATAAGAATAGTCTAAGACCTAAGTGATCTACCCGTGTGAACGCGAAGAATCTTGTTTAGAGTTGTACCAGAATAGTTGAACGCTTAATTTATTTAGCTATTTTAAAACCAAATCAAAAAAAAAATATTTATTAATTTTATGTTAAAACATAAATTTCAATAAAAAATGAATTTTGCTTTTATCTTATGATGAAATAAGAAATATAAAATCAACTATTAAAGCTATCAGTACAATTAACACAAGTAATAATACTTATTATTAATTAGTTTTTATTCATCTAAAGTTGCGTGTAATCAAACTGGAAGTTGGAAGGTAGTACTTAGGAAGTTCGTATGGTTTGTTAGCAATCTTTGAATAATTAACTTATTTAATAAATTGATAAGCTACATAGTACATGGTAGGCATTTATTTGCTTTTTGTATACTTGCCTTATCATTGTGGTGGCGATAGTGGTATTATCATCGGTGACGGCGATAGCAGTTGGTGCGCAGGGACGGTTAAACGAACGCCAAAGCGGTGACCGATCGGTGAACGTCCGCGTATTGTTGCACCGGTGGTTTCGGAAGTCACGTTGTCCGGGAACAGGTGTCCGTAGCCCATAGTCACCATTCGGTGTTCGTATAACCGATAAAAATAACACGGGTACACGCGTTGAACGGCCTCCGTGAAGGTCTCCGACTGGTCGGTGAGCAGCGTGGCGCTTGCAAACATAGCCGCCGCCGTAGCCAGGTGACCGTCTTCCAGTGACTGTTCGCCCGCACGCACCGACTGCACGAATAGGCCTGCCAGCCATTTCCGGACGTTGGTCTTGCCGGGTGTCGTCGTCTGCAGCCCCAAAGACCCGTCCCGTATGATGAACCAATCGCTACGGTCGTTGTTGTAGGTCATCGTTATGGGTCTGTATTGTGTCTAATATTGGTTATTACTTATTATTCTCCTCCTTTCGTCGCAGTTATTTAAAATAAATATTTCCACGAAATCATAAATCCCTACTCCTATAAACGAACAACGAATAGCTATTATGTAGTATTATGGTATTGTGATGATTTGTTATTGTTGCTAAGTTATAGTCGTCAACATATAAATATGGTATAATGTAAATAAGACTTTATTTTTAATGGTCAGTAGTTAGAAAATTTCGAAAGGAAGGAAGTATTAATTGTTGAAGTATCGTTTGGGTACCTTCAAGTTTTCATGTGATTTTATCTCCCCATAAGATAAATAATATTTATCGATGTATTTTATCCAGCAAGATATTGTACTTACTGTAGCTGGGTTCTTTAGAAATACACAGAATACTTATATATATATTTCAAAATAATTTTAAATACCTATTTATAAAGTAACACTTATTAGTTATAAAGAATTTTATAACATTAATTATTATAATGTACAAAAAGTGTATGTACTTAACGTTTACAAGTTTGTATAAGTTTGAATATATTAGTATAAGTTACTTAACATAATATACCACAACTATATTAAGCATATACATATCGCATAGCTAATGGTTCGAGAGGGGAAGGGCTAGAACCCTCTACCCCCTCAAATGCGTCACTGAATATCAGTTTCGTGTATGCATTTGATCAGTGTATTGTCGGCTGTTGTTGAAGATGCGAGGATTTCTTATGGAGTTCCCGAAAGTTGATGTTTGTGTCTTAATTTGGTAGGTATAATATCTACATTCAAGATGTATGGGTGTACTGCTAGCTAGGTAGGTATTAATTCGGTATTAATGGTATTAAATTATTATAACAATATGTTAGTGTTATGTGTATACACTTATAAAAATAATATTTAGGTAGTTAATTTATGCATAATATTTTATAGTGGTATTTAACAAGTGGGTAGATGGAATTTTAGGAACCTGAATTGAAATGGAACCTACCTTGTTGTATACCTTGAAAATTATTAATTTTTATAGTGCTACTACAAAAAGATGACTATACAAGGGTAAAAATTGAGTGTATAGTCTATATTTTCTTGCATGCCTGGGTTTAATAAGTTATAACTTAACTCTTTAGTCTTTAGTAATATATATATATAATTACTTAACTTAAGCCTTTTTCATAGTACAAAATCCAATAGACAGTGAACCAACTTAGGAGTTCTACAACATTATGTCCTATTTAGTTAATAATTAATTAGTTTAGATTTACATTGTTCATTCAGTATTTTTTGTAAAATGTATCTGTATTATGTATGCCATTTATACTTCATATTTCTATAAAATAAATGTCAAATTGTAGCAACCATTTTACCATTGATTATAAATATTAGTTGGTAGTATTTATATTTAACGATTTTAGTATAATAAATAAAAAAACCTAGACAAATATTGGTTATAACTAGCCCTTTCATTAAAATAATAATATTTTTGACGGGATGATATGTCGGTGTTATATTTTACTATTATTTGACTTTGTATCCGACTTTAAAAATAAAAAAATAATTATAAATTTAAAATATGTTAGCCAATTGTTCAGTAAAAGTCTTTTTTTTTTTTTAAATTGATTCACTTTTATTATTTACTTGTTTAGAAAACAGGTCACTTACGTAGTTTATAATACAAATTCGGCTGAATTTAAATTATTTGTTAGTGCATGATCATAACCAAGGAGTTTCGATTTTATTCTGTTAAAAAAAAATGTTGTTCGCCTAAATATTTGTTCCATAAGGACTTCTTTTGTCCCACAAATCATTTGTTTAAGGTTTGTAACTTAAGTTCCTAAATATTTGTTCTTATTCAGTATCGGTCTAGCTTAATATATAAGGTCTGGCTTATAATTGGGCTTCTGGCACAGTAATTTTCAATGTGCCCTTATCAAAAAAAAAAGGGATTTTTATATTTATAATTTTTATAACATATAAAGGTAATATAATTGCATTTACCGTGTGCATAAGTACATTTAATATTAAATTAATACTTTTTATGATTAAATAATCAAATAAAATATATAATATAATTAAAAATAATAATTTTTAATAGTAAATACAATATAATATAATATTATTTAAAACAATTATCTCTTCAATTCTTGACTAGAAGATGCTAATTGTTCAATTATTTCATCTTTTTGAATAAATTTGATTAAATCTTCTTCTACATATAAGGACATTTCTAGATGTTCTTAACTGATAGTTGATCTTAGTTTTGTTTTTAAAATTTTCAATTATATATAGCATATAATACAGAGATTAACGAGCATAAGTTTGAGACGTTTGAGTATTGAGTGTGGAGTGTCTTAGTGCGACGTGCGTGTCTGTATGTTGTGTGTATCACTCGTATCAGTGTATGGGTGTACCTTATTATTGGAAAATTATCATAATCATAAATCTATTTTTGTTTCATCAGTACCGACTGCCGATCACGGCTAATAGATATAATATAATTATATTGGTTTATGGCATAAATATAAAGATATTAAATCGACTAAATATAGCGTTATTTTAATCACCGGCCTCAATAATTACAATGTTCAATTATCGATTATAGATACTAATATTTATAACTAATGGTTCAATGTTCACAAATTGATTCAATTGGCACCCGAGCCAGGAATCTTGAGTTAACTTAATATTTTTTTCATTTATCTTTGGGCCCCTTCTTCTTCTTATGGGTTACGGCCTTCAAGACCATCCCTGCAAACATATTTGCCGCCATCATCTCCTGCAATAAATTTCTCTCCATTGTACATCTTTAACATATTTTTTGATACGATCTTTCCATCCTAGCCGTGGTTTATCTGACGGTCTTTTCCAAATCGGATTTTCTTTTAATAATCGCCTTAATAAATGAACCATCGTTCCTCCAAGCGTGCCCAGTCCACATTAATTTTTTCCTTGTAATTTATGCAACAATGTCTGGTTTTTGAAACAAGTTCTTCAGATCATCATTATGACGTATCCTCCATTTTCCAGTGTCAGAATCGATACATGGTCCATAAACTCTTATTTTACGTTTAAACACTGCAGTCTGCAAGTCTCGTTTCTTCTACCTTTCTTAGAGTCCACCTCTCAGAACCATACAAAACTATTGGTCTTATCAGGGTCATGTACAATTTTTAGTTTTGTTGATAAGATTTTCGAGCCAAACATACTTCCTATGCCAAAATAACATCTATTTCTCATTTATATCCTAGTATCTACCTATATCTTAAGGTCATTGTCTTGTGTTTCTATGGATCTTAAGTATTTAAAATGTGGCGTTCTTTAAACTTATGGTAGTCTATCTCCATAACCTCTCCTTGTTGGTATTCTTTACATCTCCGTCCAATTATGACATACTCCGTTTTATTGTCGTTGATCTTAAGCCCGCACTTGCCTGCAATATTTATTAATTTTCTACAATGCTGTTTCACAGTATCTAAATTATTTCCCAATAGGACTAAGTCGTCGGCATATGCTAGCAATCTTATTGTCGTGTTACCCATTGTAGCTCCATCAATGACATTTAATTCTCTAACCATTTTTTCTAACACTAGATTATAGAGTATGGGCGAGAGAGCGTCTCCTTGTCTTAAGCCCGTTGATCCTTTTACTGTCTTTGATACTGTATTTTCGGACGCATGTAAATTCCGCCCGAAAATGGTAAATTCCGCCCAAAATGAACTAGTGGTAAAATAAGGTACATGTAAATTCCGCCCGAAAAAATGTATTACTGTTAATAAACAAATTTCTGAATGTGCCTTATTAATCATATTATTACTGACATAACATAGATTAAACATTATAATTTAGAAGTATGTTTTCAAATAAATATGTATTTCACATATTAAGTCAATAATTACAACATAAATCATGTATATTCGTAAGAATAGTAATAATTATAAAAGTAAATATAACAATCATAATATTATAGTAAAATTAAATCATAATGAATAATTAGAACAATATATATTTATATATGAGTATTAAAAATCGTAAAATATTAAAAATTGTAATAATAAATACGAGTCAAAATAAAATCATCATCAATAATTAGCACATATTATTATAAGTCGTGTATATTGTATAGCATATAAAATGTTAAAAATTGTTAAAATAGTAATAATTATAATAATAAATACGAGTCAAAATATCACTTCCATACTATTTTTTTTTGCTAAAATCCCCAAAATAATGAGCCACGTTTTCTACATAATCATCTATAGATATTTCATTATTTTTATATTTTCTAATTATATTTTGCATGTATATATATTTTTTTTTTGATTTTGAATTTCTATATTTATGTGGTTCATTTTACTATTTATTTTTATGTAATTTTCTAATTGAATTTGTTTAAGTTAGTCTAAAAATATAAAAATATGAGGATGATTAGAATTAAAACTTTTATTAAAATTGGAATGAAACGACTCACAAGCATTTGTCGTTCTGTTCAAATCTGCTGTAGCAGCAGCCCATATATTTGGAGGAAAAGCAGCGTCATTACTTATATAATTATTTAATAAATAATCAGAAAATTGATCATTTGGCTTAGAACTCATTAAAAATACTTCAAAGTAATCAAAAACCAAATTGTTCAAAAAAGTTCATATTGAAAAATATAATGAATAAACGCTATTTAAAAAATCATTCTGTGTATTGTTTAGGAAAAAAAGTATTTGGAAATGTTGATTAACATTTACATGTTTTTTTGAAAGGTATACTTAATATTTTTGTTTGTAAAATTAAATACATTCCAATAGCTTAATTAACAAAAAAATTCAATATAGGTTTGTACTTCTTAGTAAATTATCCCAATCAATAGTAATCTAATATGATAATAATATAATATATAATATCAATTGAATATTTTAATAACACTTTAATGGTTATATATAACACAATTTGATTGCTCATAAAATTAGTTTATTATTTATTGGTTTTTTTTCAGTTTGATCCATGGTATGGTATGAAGACCCTGGACGAGTATGAAGTGAAGTTGCCAAGGTTTGCTTATGCTGTATTAGTTCTAGATAAACATATGCTTGATGATAATCGTTGTGTAAGTGAAACTACAAAAAAAAATTAAAATTGGTTGGTAATTGATAGAGTAAATTTATTTGATGTTTGTATGTTATTAGATTTTCATAGTACCTTCATGTAAATCTGTTTATTCAATTATTGTTGAATTTGCAAAGGAAACTAATTATAGGTTAGTATACAAACTAATATCCATTTTATATGATTATACTTAAAAAAAAAAACTTTCTATGTTTCAGTAACAAACAAATACCAACCATTATGTTAGAAGCTTTTAACCAAGCGTTATATTTGTGGTTGTTACATCCACTTGAAATGCCTAAACATAATGATGTAAGTTTTTATTATTTTTTTTTTATTACAATCTATAGTATTCACTAATTTTATAAAGTTAAAGTTTTGGATTATGGTAAAGTTTATTATTATTTATTATTTATAATTACTTATCAGCAGAGCGTGGACTGTACAACTAAAAACCAGCCAAATAACATAACATAAAAGAAGATAGTAGTTAAAATCTTAGAAGTTTTAAAAGTATCTATAAAAATCTTAAAATATTTTGTTGAAATATGCACTAAAAACAGTGTTGCAATTACCGGGTGTACAAGTTGCGTGATGCACATCGACCCTAAATTGATATTGTCCCTCCAATCAGTATGTTACAATTAATTCTATCACCATGGCTGTAAAGTGTAGACATTTTAGTTTATGTAAAATAAAGAAAAAGCAAGTTTGATTATATTATCAAAATATAATATTATATATTATAATCATAATATACGTATTCATACACTTTTCGTGGACTTCAAGAAAGCGTATGATAGTATTCATAGAGAGAGTCTACTGAATATTATGAAAGAATTTCATTTTCCACAAAAGCTGGTCAATTTAGTATCAATCAGTGTTATGGAGACTTTGATAAGGGTTCAGGTAGGAAATTCAATAACTGAGCCGGCTACAGTGAACTTGGGGCTAAGACAAGGTGATTCGCTATCGCCGATTCTGTTCAACGTGGTATTGGAAAAGGTAATTAGAGAAATGAAAATTGGGCCTAACGAGGGTATTAGGCTACAAGACACGTCGATAGGCATACATGCTTATGCTGATGATATAGTATTGATGGAAGAGTTTCAGGATAGATTGAAGAGTTTATTCAGTAGGTTGCATAAAGCAGCATCAAAAGTAGGACTATGTGTAAATGAAGAAAAAACGGAGTATATGTTTTTGAGTAGAAGGTAACCTTTCTGTCAGTCCATAAGAATAAAACACTATGAATTTAAAAGGGTAGAACAGTTCAAATATCTAGGTTCTATTTTTACCGAAAAAAATAATGTAGCTAACGAGGCAGCAGCAAGAATTCCAGCTGGGAATAGATGCTATTATGGACTGACTAAGGTACTAAGCTCACGAGCAGTATCGCGAAGAATGAAGGAAGGATTATATACGGCCTTAATACGACTGGTTGTATTGTATGGATCGGAAACATGGTCAATTAAAAAAATACACGAGTATAGATTCATGGTCTTTGAAAGAAAAGTATTGCGGAAAATATATGGCCCGGTCAAAGACGAAGAAAGAACATAGAGCTGGAAATACTGTATGGTAGTGCGGACATATTGGAGGTAATCAGAAGCAGAAGACTGCTGTGGGCTGGCCACGCTTGGAGGATCCAAAATCCACTTTAACATGCAGTGATTGAACAAAACCCTGTAGGTAAAAGGCCTCTGGGAAGACCAAGAATGCGATGGGAAGATGTTGTGAAACATAAGGACGTTGAGCAGTTGGGAGGTTGTTCCAATTAGAGAAATCTAGCAGTGGATAGAGAAGGATGGAAGCTTGGTTGTGAGACGGGATGGTCTTAAAGGCCCAATAACCCCCCCCAAAAAAAAAAAAAAAAATTATAATCATAAAACTTATCAAACATATCAGTTGGCAACAGTATTATTTATACAATCTAACATTGTAATTTTTGTTTTTAATTAATATTATAGAGCTCTGAGCTATATTAATATAATAATTAATTTATATTTTGCAGCTGCATTAAAATTGTAGATACCTATAACAGAATTATTTTGTTATATTTGTCGTGGGAGTGGTTTATCCAAAATAATAATTACATTTTTCTTTTTTGAAATTGCTATATTTTAAAAGTAGATTAAAAAAATGTTTTCAAGTAAAATTACTCTAAATGTTCTATGTAAATCTATAAAAAAAACTTGTGCCCATTCATAGTTTTCCATCATACATAATTTTAAAATAATATGAAAAAATATTAGATTAACATCTATGAAATGTTTAAAATAGTTAAAAGCAATGAAGACCAGGAGTGGCCAACATGAACATGTTCATATGCAACATGGATAAATTTGTATTTATGGTATCAAGGGCCAAAACGTTTATAAAAACATTTTGTAATTTTACAATTTGATCTGAAGTAATATTGATAGCTAACAGCCGATTTTTTTGGCTTATGTATCGGTATTCTATGTTGTGTATCATTAATGTGAATAATAACGCAAACGTAAATTATAGTCTTTTATTGTCAAACATATAAATCGTAATGTCGTATAATGAAATTATGTGCTGGCTACTGAACGATGGACAATCCCCACCGATCGTAATATGATACTTATTATTATTAATGGTTAAACACTACGTTTCTTATATTATATAAATGCTGAATATGCAACATATCTTTCCTTTAAAAAAAAAAGGAAAAAAAAA